CTGTCTGTAATGGAAGACCTTAAAACCGTCTGCCGAGTAATAGAAAATGCTTTTAGTGATATTAAATCAGTGCACATAACATGTATTGGTAATGCGAGACAGGGGTACAGGGTATCACTCTTTCACGGCATGTAGAAGGAGCCTTAGATAAACCTGTGGATGCACACTTCTTTTGCACACATCAAGTTCTGCAACAGTCACTGTCAGTTAAGAGTCTTATTTGTCTGTGAAAGGCCAGAAAACACACAGATTATTCACCTTTAGTGTGTTACTCTATAATTAAACAAATAGTTACTTCAGGCAAAAAGAGTAAACTTCTCTGTTAAAGAGACATTTGGGTGTACTTAACTGTCAAGCATCTTTAGTTCTTATACCCAAACATACACTCAATGATAACAGAAAACCTTCTAGGTACGAGTTGTGTAACTAAATCAGATTTAGGGATTACCCAGATCTCTACTACTTGCAGCTTGGTTGACTACTACAGACAGGAAAAGAGTCAAGGTTTTATGTAAAGAAGGGTTGGCTCAGTGGGACCGGCACAGAGTTGACTGCACAACTCTGTGGAAAGGTGACCTACACAGTTTTAATACATCACTTAACTGAAGTAGGTGTTTTATTCCATTGGGACAGCACAACTGTTAAAAATCAGCAGTCAGTAAGCTAAACTAGATAAGGATCACTGTCCAAAACATACAACTGTGACATCAAAACTTAAACTTGTCAGTACTCATTTGATGAAATGATGACAGTTTTGCACTCTGGCGAGCAGATTGTCTCCACACCATCCTCAGTACCTATACATTGTAAAGGTTAAACCAAAGTTCAAGTCCAGAAAAAACATCCAGCAGTAGCACCAACAGCAAGCCCCAGTCTGCACAAGGAGCAGAAATTACTACATGGGCTTGCCTAATTATAATGTTATGATAATGCAAATGTAGACAATTGCAAGGAACATAAAAATAGCTGATTGTTTATCCCTAGACAGACAATCTGAAGCTATATGACTTTCTTCTCAACAGAAAAGCTTTGAAACATGCAAATTTGCTTACAGTGCATAAGGTCTGGATCTCAAGTGCCTCCAATTAGCTAGACTGACTGGTAAAATGAGAAGCACTTTTGCAAATGAAATATTCAGATGCTCTGATACAAAATTCCTAGGAGAAGCATAGAGAGAGCTCTCTTTGCTGTGACTTTTTTCAAAAAAAAAAAAAAAAGAAAAAAAGTTGTCATCATGACGTAACAAAGACTTCTGAAAACGCAGATGTTACCACTTCGTTTTTTAATCTCATACTCCACCTATAACAACATATGTAAAAATTATAAATACAGCTGCATGATCACAATTTTCAAAGTGAATTCTGATTCTGGATTATTAACTACAGTAATTGGAAAGAATGCAATTTTCAAAACTTGTTATAAATATTCCTGAGTTTAAAATGAAAGTCACAATTGTTTTAAAGTAGTTTTAATCATGTGTCTTAAACTTGTTCATTATTAGGGAAAATCATAGCTTAAATCACTGCAAACTTGTGTTGCTCAAGATTGAAGTGCTATAAAGTCAACGGTGAATATAATGCCACTATTTAAAATTGTTTCCATTCATCTTCCACATGGAGGCTGTTTGAGTTCATGACACAAATACTTTTGTTACCAGAAGTAGCTAAACACAGAGGTAGGCCAGGATCAGGATATCAAGTTCTTAGCATAAGCTGCAATATAGCCACAGAAGGGGTGGTGCTTTTCAACCTTATACATCTCAAATTCAAAAGCTTTCCTTCAACTTGTCATTTATAGATCATCTATAAACTATAGAACTATTTCTGGAAGGCATGTCCTATGAGTAGAGGCTGAGGATACTTGTTTGTCTAGCTTGGAAAAAGAAGGTCAAGGGGCAGCCTCACTGCTCCCTGCAGCCTCTGAAGGAGGGACAGTACAGAGGGAGGTGCCGATCTCTGCTCCCTGGTCAACAATGACAAGTTGCACCAGGGGAGCCTCAGAATGGACTTCAGGGAAAATTTATTCACTGTGAGGGTGGTCAAACACCAGAAGGGGTTTTCCAGCGCAGTGGTTGATGGCCCATGCTTATCAGTGTTCAAGAGGTATTTGAACAATGCACTTTAACTTTTGGTTAGCCCTAAAGAGGGCAGGCAGTGGACTCAATCTTCATAGGCCCCTTCCCATTGAACTATTCTATCATATTAACCACAGAAGACATCTTAGAATATCAGCTGCTCTCCCAAGAAAAACAAGATCAAAACTGAACAGCCTTTGGACTGGAAGGGTACAGAAAACTTCATATGACAAAGTACAAGCTCATGCACAAGAATGTAATCACTTTACAGTAAATAAACAGGCTTTGGTCATTCCACATGAAGTAGCTGGACTGTGTCCAAACCCAGCAGACAAACCTTCATCAGTGAAGTAACCTGATGGTGTTTGTTATTATGATTTAATGGACTTCACAGCCATGGTATCGGAACTACCCCCACTTTATTCTAGAAACGTCTTTATTAGGTCACTCTGGTTTACTTAAGTTGAAAGCTACAAAGCTGCAACTGTCTTGCTTAGTGATAGCCTTTACTTTTAAATGTCAATTTAGAACAGTTGATTTCACGTGTTTTCTGATCAGTGAGCATACTCTTTCTTCCCAAAACTTCTCAAAAGAGGGTTACACTGTAACAATCATTGCTAGTTACTATGCATACAAGACTTCATTGCCTTACCTTCCCCTCCCCCCAACCTCCCGTCAACCCTTACTCCAAGAAAATAGCTGACTTGGGCTTTTATATTCGAGAGAATATAAAAGTGCATTTGTAAGTGTAATACCTAGTTACTCTGAATGAAATCCCCAATCAGGGATCAACCACCACTAGCACCAAAAAAGAAAACACCTTCAAGGCATTGCTCTCTTCATAGACATATTAAGTATTGAAAATAGAAGCTGTGGTGGCAATAGTCCAGATGATAAATAGAGAAGGGTGATGTTACTTGCAGGGCATCATTGTTTTTTCAGTATTGACACGCCTCTGCTCTCCTACTCAGGGAACTAGATATCTTCTCTATCAGAGAAGAGCAATCTTTGTATTTCCAGCAGAGAACATGGAAGCATTGGTATGTACAAAAGGAAACCTTAAGACTAGAAGTAACTTTACTGTGCTACTGACAAATTATAATAACCAAGTGAAATATTTTCGATTACTTGACATGGCAGCTGAACCAACTCAGGAATATCTGACACCTTAACTGAAGTGGTGCATTTACTCTCCACTTCCATGGAAAAGACTCCACACACAAACATGTGCTTTTCTAATACATCATAAAAAAATTCTACTCACTGAAGCACACTATGTGAGAGGAAAATAACATTACCAAGCACAGGAAGATGTGGTTTTGCAAACCAAAATGCTACTTAGATCATTCTGTAATTAAGACCCGTGAGTTTGCCTACTTTTCTTTGTAAATAATCTTTATATAAGAAAGCAATGCAGGAAAGCATCAACATAAAATATAGTGACCAAATAGTGACTAAATAGTGACAATATAGTAACTAAAAACCAAAAATGAGAAGACACATATGATCAAGCATTTTGCTTCCTAATTTATATCTCATTATTTCTACTTATTCCATCTTTGGAAGATAAGAGATGATTACTATGGTTTACTCTTTTTTTCCCCCGTTACCCTTACTATACCTCTTATTTTTTGACCTATATACAAAATATCATCATTCAAAATTTTAAGTATAACACATTAGGGATAAAGATAGTAACTGAAAGATACTTAACTTCTCCTGTGTATGTTTAACGTTCAATTGCCTGGCAGAACCAAATAGGAAATGCCCAAGTTTCTCAAGTATTTGAAACGGTCTGACTGATATAGTCAGCCTTACGTTAGCTGGGTCCTCTAGTATTTCCCCTCCTAACACTAGGAACAAATGTTTAAAAGCTATGCACCATTAAAATTATTATGCAATACCAAAGCCTGCACAAAGGTCTAACTACAGCCTGAATCCACCTGCCTCCCAAGATCCAAGATTTTTGCTACTGTATGCAGCAGCAGCCAAATCAATCACGAGGAACCACACACCTTCATCCCAGCAGTCTAACAAAAGCACACTTAAGTGCCACATGAAACAAAGATTAGGCAGGAAAGCTGCAATCCTTACAAGAGACATTAAATTACCTTAATAAATCCAATTTTCAGTGAACACACATTTTGTGAGCACGTGCAGTAATCCACCTCTCAGTTGCACACCTCTGATAGAAAGAAAAAGAACTTTAAAATGAACTTTTTGTTCCTGGCTAGCACTTGCCTTCACCATTATGAACACAATCCTGTAATTTACATCACCCCCTATCAGTAAATGAATAAATATCTATATTCTTTTTAACAGGCTGCATGTCTGTTAAATACACACCTGGACTACATTCTGCTCTTTTGCAAACTTCTGTAAAGGTTAAGTATGAATCTCAGAAAAGAACACAGAAATGTTATGTGGGGAGGGTGGGAGGGGTTGTGTTTTGGGTTTTGGTTTGATTTGTTTGTTTGTTTTTGTTTGTTTTGGTGGGTTTGTTTGGATGAAACTAGTGGAAGTACTTCTACAGTGCTGAAAATCCCCTTTCACAGGAAGCAGTGATTTTGCAAATAGCACTCTGACACTGTTACAACTGAAAGATAATACTTGAGTTTCACATAGGGATAAGAAAAAAATAAATAAATAAAAAATTAAGGTGCTACCATGTTTGGGATAGTTTTATAGACCGAGAAGTCCAAACACTTGGGGAGGCTGCACCCCTCCTGCTGTAAAATGGCACGTTTAGAGTAAACCATCAGTTTTCTATCAGCACCACTGCTGAAGCTGTGCACGTTCCTCACCCAGAGGCTAAGGCATTTCCCACAGAACACACAGCTCTCGGTGCCAAGTCCCTCCATCGGGCTGGGCCGGGCTGAGGGGGCGGCTGTTGGTGACAAGAGGGGAAAGGAAGGGCAGCACCCACCGAAGAGGCTGTTGCTGAAGCCGTCCCAGACGCAGCCGGCGGCGTCCCAGACCCAGCGGCTCCTCAGGCAGGACATGAAGGTGAGGCTCACGCCGAAGACGGACACCAGCAGGTCGCTGAGGCTGATGTTGACGAGGAAGAGGTTGGTGGGCGTGCGGAGCCGCTTGAACTTGTAGTAGAGCACCAGCACCAGCAAGTTGTTGCACAAGCCCAGCACGCCGATGGTGGCGATGAGCAGCGCCAGCAGCTCGTAGGTGCCGGCGCTGAAGGGGGGCCGCTCGCCCGGCGCCTCCTGCTCCGCCGCGGGGGGCTCCAGAAGGCTGGTGGCGGCCGAGCCGTTCCCCCAGGGCATGGCTCACGGGCTGCCGGAGCGCAGCCGCAGCGGGGCTCATCCCCTCCGAGCTCCCCGGCACTACTGCAGCCCGGTAACTAGAGCAGCAGGAGGAGGAGCCCTCTCCGCCTTCCCGCCCACGGAGGGCGAGCCCTCAGGCGGTGTCGCCCGTGCATGCCATGAGGTGCTGCCGCCGGGCGGCCCTCAGCCGCTCCGGCTCAGCCCCGCCTGTCGGTGAGCAGCCTGGTTGTGACCGGGATGGGGCTGCTGCCTCCTCTGCCGTGACATGTTCCGTGTGCTTCTGCTCCCTGAAGCTGCTTTCCTGAGCGCTTCCCGCCAGGGAGCTCCGTGTGGGGCAGTCCGGCTTTACGCCGTGCTTCAGGAACGGGTGGAAACTGCTGAGCCGCTGTTTGGACTCCAGATGTCTCACCAGTGACACCGCCCTCCCCTTCCCCTCTGTGGACGTAGTTTCTATTAAGACTGGCTTTTTCGTTATTATTTTTTCCCTAGTGAATCTGAGTTTGCGGTCTTTGCTTACGCGTCTAGGAGGTGCAGCAGAGGAGGAAGGTGTTTGCCCACAGCCCTCTGAGATGGCTGCAGCAGCTGCATCTTCACAAAGCAACTGGCAGCATTATTTTTGATTCCCAGGTAAACTTACGCAAGTGAATTATTTATTTATTTATTTATTTATTGGTCAGACACCATGAGGCAAGTAAGTCACGTCAGGTACTGAAGCTAACACTATGAAGTCACCTATTTTTGTATCTTTGTTTCCAGTGTGTGTTGTGCAAAAATGGTATAGAAGCCTGCCTTCCTACAACTGTAGCTGGTAGTAGTCAAGGAGTTGAAGTAACCCCCAGCTGTGCTAGGTTAGCTGTACTGTCTCCAAACTGAGCTTTTATTCCTGAATATGTATGGCTGTAATTTTTGCTCAGCCAAGCTTTAGGCCTAACACACCTTGCCAGATGAAACATCAGTCTTCCCCACAGGAAGGCCTCCAGTTTATTTGGTGACCCACACACATTCTTATTGGAAGTCAGGTGCATTAAGAACACCGATAGGGGCCAGCCTTCACTGGGATCAGACAAAACTTTCAGTTTGGGTCTCCTCTTAGTTCAGCTTATATGAAGAAGACCAGATATGTCAGCTATAGACGCAATAGAATTTTCATAGAAATGTGGCCTGGCAAACAAACAATACCTGCTTGTTTTGTGTTTGTTTGTTTGTTTGTGTTTTTCCTCTGAACATAAATAATGGTGTTAAGAGGGGTGATAGGAGAATATGATTCCTTGTGGACTGAGACTGAAAACACTGGTAGTTGAGGTCATTTTGATGTCTTTCAAGATGCCTACATGAACACAAATTATGGGCTTGCAGTGGCAATTTTACATGACAAACTAGTGCTGTAATTCTTATCAATATAAACTTTATGTACAATATTTTCAAATTCATCAAATATGACATAATCAATAACTGAACCCTAGTTGTAAAACATAGTTGTCTATTTCTTGATCACTGGTCTTCCATCTTTTCTGTTTACAAAAGCAGTAGGAGCAGACATCTTTCTCAAATTAATTATATTACCCCATACACACATCCCCCGCCCCCAAAAGATGGATTAATAGAACACGTGACTTCCTTCCAAAACTTCCAGTAACTGACCTGTGGCACCTCAGCATGTGCTTTAGGACAGGCATAACTCTTTAACTTTCTTTATGCACAGGTAATTCCCTTAAAAGGGAATTACCTTTAAATTCCCTTTAAAAAAAGGGAATTACCTTTACCTTTAATTCCCTTAAAAGGGAATTACCTGTGCATGACAGACTATGTGCAAAAATACCATATTATGGGTTGTTTTAGAACCAGCTGCTGCATGGTAAAAGTCTCACAATAATAATAAGACATGGCTGGGCCAAATTAATGATACACATTATTAAGAAGAAATCTCTATCCTCTGCCCTTAAAAGAAAGTCTTATATTTAGTGTGCATCTTGTTTTTGCTGCACAAAATGAAAAGAGAAAAAATCTGGTGAGGCACAGGGTAGAAATTTAGTGAGGAAATAAATAAATTTTAGACAATGTACTGCTCATCAGCAGATTCCATCATATACTCAGGGTTTCTAAGTAGTTTTCCAACTATAGCACCTGACAAAAGTACTCACTCTAGATGTCTTCTGGTTTTCTAGAAAATAAGAAAAAACAAGTCCTGTATTATTACCAAAAAAAAAAAAAAAAGTCCTTGCAAATCCTTAGGTGTTCCTATATCACTTCTGCATTAGTTCTTTTAATGTGTTGTCCATTATGTACAAAGTACATGGAATGGTAGAATCCGTTGGATGTAGATTTTCAGATGACCAGCATATATATGTGTAGATATACATGTATGCTTACATATGTATACAGAAAAAAATAAAAGCTAGCTATTAAAATAATGCTTCAAAATTAAAAAAATCATAGTTATCTGGGACTGACTTTAGAAGTTCTCTGACTTGGCTGTATTTAGACATTTAAATGTTTCAGGACATCAGAGCATTGAGTGTCAGTCACATTAGAGGTGAAGAATGAAGCGGAGTGCTCTCTAACCTTGTGTAGGAGTAGAAATAAAAACCCTGTCATATTGACCATGACTCCCAGTCTTCACTATATGATCAAAAATGTCAGTGAGATATTTTCAAAAAATGAGAACACTGGGTGGTGGAAGACAAGTGTTTTAAGCAACTTGAGACATCTTTAATTTCCCATTTGTTCATTACCTTATATTTTGCTTTCACTCATTTTCTCTATTATCATTATTATTATTATTATTTCTGTTCTCTATTTTCTCTATTATTTCTCCCTTATTTTCTGCTAGCTTTCTTCTGCTTTCAATTCACAGGCTGTTTCCCATCTTTTGTGACAAGCAGTGTGAGAAGAGAGGCTTTTGTCCATACTCAATACATTTGTTTCAGGAATCAAATGGTGCTGGGATTTTGTTTCTTGTTTTGAACTCTAAAACTTATTATTTCAACGGGTATGTTAGACAGCTAGACTGCAGTTTCTGAAAGAAACTAAGTAAATAACCAGTCTTCAGCTTTTTAATTAGGATTTTGACAGCCTTCTGCTGGTATTTGATTTCTTATATATTCTCTTTGCCATTCTTTAGCTTTAAAGGCAGATAAAAACCGAATGATTATTCACTGCATCTATATATAGCTGCAACACGTATCTGCAGCACAAGGAAGAGTTTATGGACAGACAGGTTTGTGGGGATATTTGTTTATTCATTTATTTTTGTGGCTGAGCTTGATCTAGACCACAACCAGAGACTGAACCCAAGTATCCTACACACCAGAGCCCAGAGCCTCTTTAAGGACAACTCAGGTCATTTTAGAGCTATTGTGTTTTCTTTTGGACTGTCATTTTACTTGGTGACGATCTGTCTTTAAGTTAGACTATCGGAAAAGATGACTGGCAACCTGGTAGCAGGCAGGGAATAAGATCTATCACTTTTTGCTGGTTTGTCTTCTGCAGTAGCTTAGAGTTATCTGTTTTGAACTGGCAAGGTACATGGTTAGAATTTTAAAACTAGCATACAGTTTCATAGACTTCTGGTACTTCTTGAGATACAAATTGATAATGATTGATTTTTCTAACGGGCTGCCAATCCAGCAATGAGTTGGCTGTAGCTGTTCTTTGTGCCTGCTGTACAAAGTATCATTAACTTTGTACTGATCTGAGAATTTACCAATCCAGAGCAATGTGATCGCACAGTAAGAACGGGAGAGTTGGGAAGTTTGACTTCTGAATGTATGTTACCTCTACCGTATTCCAAATCCAACGCTTTTCACAGTATCAGTAAGGGAGACAGGAAAGAAAATGCTTTTTATTCATTTAATGCTACTGTAGACTTACTAATGCAAGGACTTCCTGTTACTCATCAATTTAATATCGAATTTGTCTCTTAGACTTAGCTTATCTTCTAATGTAGTTCCTCTCTTCTCTACTTTTGTTTGTCAGTCTATTCAGTCATCACATCTTATTTGAAAATTGTGCTGTACATTTTTTGGAGTTTAAGCATTGAAGACAGCAGAATTAGCTGGTACTGAAAACAATGATACTTTATTTGGGATTTCCACATATTTAGATTGTGCTGTATAACAAGAAATCCCTTGGTTGCAAGAGAACAAAATATAGTTTTCTGTTCTTAACCTTTCCATCCTGTTAATTGAGAAATGAGAATATAATGTCATGTCATACAAGCTTAGATGACGCAGAATGGAGAAATTAGTCAATAGGACACACTGCTTAACAAGGGTTCAGCTTGAATCTCCATAAGGAATACACCATAGCTCTAGCCAAGATACAGTATCCAACCAACCACCAAGTGTCTTGACACACTAGTGAAACATTTTCCTTTATAATGGCTGGAGAATTGCTGTAGGAACTAGCAAAAACGCATCTTCAAGCTATCCCTCCCTTTACCAGGAGTCAGTACTGCTTTCCTCTGCACAATTCTCTTCCTTATTATAAACAAAAGATGTACTCACTGTGGTTGAGCAGGAATACCTAGCAACTCTTCCCAGTGGAAAAGATCACTGCTGTTCGCATGATTTTTTCCAAGTGAGTGTGATGATTATGGTCTTTCTCTGTTTTTGAAGAAGTGGTTTTGTTGTTCTTGAAACATGGCTGATCACTGTCAATCCTTTAGATAGACACAAAACATATACAATACAATTCCTCCTTTCCTTTCAACCACAGAATATCCACAAAGCAGAAATTCCACGTGCAGCAATTCAAGCAAGCCTTGAGCAATGAGCTTGTCATCCACCTTGGATGAAGTAATAGAAAAGCTGATGTGGAGATAAATAGCTAAAGAACAATACAAAGAAATTGATCAATATAATCTAGTAAAAAGTGGATCTAATGAATAGACTGAAGTTCATTGTTTGAACAGAGTGCCAATTTGCATAATGTTGTATTGCATAGCAATGTGGTTTCAGCATTTTTTTTAAGAGACTGAAAAGCTGAAAAATGCAGAAAAGAATCACAAACATTATTTTGAGACCTGAAGGAAAATGTTGGAGTAGGAGATACAGAATTCAATGTATTTTAATTAACAAGAGAAAAATGGAGAAGTAAAATCAGGTATAAGGGCTGTAGTAGGAGAATATACCAACTATTTCTCTAAATCACTGAAGACTTTACAAAAACTGTCTAGTGGAAGCTGAAGCCACACAAATTCAAATGACAGTTTTAAGGTTTAACAGTATGAGCAATTAACCTTTGGAACAAACATGATGGATTCTCCATGTCTTGGTGTCCACTGGACACCTTTCTGCAAGTTACGCTCTGGAAGAACATTGTTGGGATAATTATAATGATAAATGGCTGATATTTAAAGATCTGTGATACAGGGGGAGTGAAAGTAGAAGATCTAATCACCCCTTCTGGATTTAAATGTTATGAATTCATGGTGCCTTCCTTAAATTCGGGAGCAAGAATGCTACTTAAGGTCAACGGATATTTTGGCCTGCCTATTCTAATCAGATTTTCTCATCCAGAAAATCAATCATCTGCTCAGTAAAGTAGTTACGTCTTCACTGGTATTAAGAAAAAAAATAAAAATCTAGGATTTTGTAAATTACCTTGATGAGGGGAATAAAAAGAGGAACAACTTTTCTCGCTTCTTACAAATTTGTGTTTGTTTGTTTTTTTTTAAATGACAGAACATACCAGTTTCTATTCATTATCACTAATGTGTTTCTCTGAAGTACTTTGGAATTTTGTTGATCATGAAAATATGTAATTGCATTAATGAATGTGAATTAGATCAACAAACAAATGTGAAATTTGCTTAAGCATGGCAAATGCCATGAACAATTTTTCTCACCTTCAATTATAGTTCATTTATATTTGTTATGCCAATGACATTCCTGTAAATCTACAGTGGATGTGGGAGTAGTGTGATAATCAGAGACACGGCAGAATTTAATGTCAGCAGAGTGTAGTGTTGTAAAAGGGGCTGTGGATATTGCACACATGTTAAAATGTGGACATTAATTGCAGGAATTTGTAATACTTTAAAACAAGTAATTCTGGGTTGGGATGTTGTTCCTGTTTTACAGGCAAATTTTAGCAACCTGGTAAAGTTAACAAGACAGAAATGTTCATCCGACTTGGAATTAGTACATACTGCCTTCACTTGACAAAGTTAGAAATGGTAAGCCTCTACAATTTACAAAATGTTATCAAGCATAAGGAGTCAGATTCACTAAAAGTTCACAGAGACAGTTGATCATCTGTAATGCAGAACCCTAAGTGAGATAACTAGCTTCCATATGCACAGAACCTACAATTATAGCAAGATCCAAAGTAATTAACATACTAATTATTGGTATCTAAAGACTTTTTTTTTTAACTGCTTATTCAATAGATAGTTACTATTCTCTGAGGAAAGCTTCTAACACCATTCTTTTTACTTCATTCTGAACCATTCTTATAAGACAGCTGTTTATATCATTACTTTCCAAAGACTGAATGAAGCTTGATTCTTTGGAATATTCCCACAAGAAGTGGTACTCATCCTTTATTCAGTAGTCACTGTGATACTCGTTCAGGAGACAAGATTTAGATTTGATTCTCTTTCAGCCAGAGGAAAAATAAATTAACTTTTCCAGCACTCCAGGAGGATACCCTAGGGTTCCACTATTCAGTAAAGAATTTAAGATGTGGTGGGATGGAAAGACAATGCAAATATAACACAGGTTTTGGTGCTTTCACAATGATTTTGATTGGTCAGTGAGTGACTTTTCAAAGCGGTAGCTGCAATTTTGTTTTCTGAACAGTCACATCCTGCTTTTAAGTTGCTTGGGCAACTACAAACAGACAGAAGTTCCTGGGTCACTGAGGTATAGGAATATCTGCCTTTAAGGTCCTGACTGAACTTAGGCACAAGTTAAATGTGGACATGTGGACACTTTTCAAAACAGGGATCATCTAACAAATATTGCTGAATTTTGGCCAGACGTATACTAATACCCAGCACTTAATCTCAGTGATCATTATTTGTATGTTAGGAGAAAGAAAGAAACAATAACTTAACTGGAAGTTAAGGAAGGAGATAAGAGGGGTGATTGGAGAAAAAAAAAAATAGATAGTGCTCAATGAAGACTTTAAAGAATTTTACAATATAGGAAAATCATCAGGAAATAAACACTGAAGATATGTAGTGCCCAAGAGCAGTGAGAATAGGAAAGGATAACAAGCCAAGGATTAGAAGCAGGGTTGAGTTTTCACTCGTATGGGTGCAGTAGCATGGCACCTAAGCAAGGCAAGCAGAGCAGTTCTGTTGGTAGCAACCACAATCAACAAAGAGTCCAGAACAGTGCAGTGACAAGACAGGGCCAAGATCAAGTCGGCAAGCACCATTAACAAACCAGGCTCAGTTGGAAGAAACCTACTTGCAGCATAGCTAAGTAAGTGCTTAAATAAAGCTCATAAACCAAAGGGCAGTGAGAGGTTCCAGGTGAGGCCATTCAGTCAGGTAAGGCCCATTGAGGGATGCAGGGTGCTGACAGGTAACAAGATTGTCAATTGACACAAGACTAATGGGTGTGTTGCCCTTTGTAAATACATGTAGCACTAAATCTGAAATGGTGACACTGGTAGATGGATTGGTTTAGACTGGGTAGTTTTTTCCCCCTTGTGTGTTGCACAGAAAAAATAAAAACATAAAAAAATATTTATAGAAGGCATTGTTCTGCTTTGCATTTTCCAGGAGCTTTTCCAGTGTACAAAGCAATCTAACAAAACTGATAGGAGACAGTAAAAAAAAGTACGTGTAGCTTCTCACAAGCAGAGGAAGTTAGTGTAAATGGCTCTAAGAGCTTAAGGAAGAGGAAATTGGACAGCTGAAAATACTAAAACTCCACCAGTCCGTCAAGGGATTTCTTGCAATCTTAATCATAATGGCATATGCAATAAATAAATAAATAAATAAATAAATAAATAAATAAAGGTTTCCTGCAGAGTAATTGGGTTTCAGGATAGATCCATTGGAAGTCCTATTTTACTGAGTAGGGATTTTTAATATAATAAAGCCAATGACAAAGCATATATTGAAGAAATGGAGAGAGATGTACTAACGAAGAAAATATTTAATGTCACTCCCAAGTACCAGCTGTCAAAAAATACTTTTCTAGTTCTTTTCAACTTGAGTTGTCCTCTTTGTATTACATTAATAATTTCAAAACATAACATCCCTGATAAAATGCTTTTATTACTGGAAAACCAGGCACCCCGACCTAATTGAGGTACCTGGCCAGACCTCACAAAGAGTAGAACGTGCCAGAATATCACCAGACTGCTCTCAGTTCTCCTATCACCAAGCAAATATAAAAGGAGAGCTGGCTCCATCATTCTTCACCAAATAATGTGTGGATCCAAGGAACTCCACAACAGCAGCTGTTCCTAACTGCAAGAGTTGGTGTGCAGCTTTTGGCAAAGTCTTGAAGATAGTCCAAAGCATAGAAAGGTGATATAATCTTCCTTCCTTCTTACTCAGTACAAAATTATGAAAGATAGTATGAACTTGCAACAGCTAGTTTCAAAGGTATATTCTTACCAGAGAATGATATCTTCTATAGCTAAGTCATTGCCAGCTGTAGCAGAACTGAACCCTTATGAGATCCTTACCTGGCTCTTGAGGTGAGAAAGATCACGCATGTTCAGTCACCAATTGCACCAGACTCCAGGAACTAATCTCACTTGCCAGGTTATTACTGGTATGTGACACAGAGTTGCTCAGTGAGTAGAATTCTTTGGTGTAATGGGAGGTTGTGACACCAACAGCTCACTAACATGTTTGCCATCTTGAGATGCTAAACCAGAGTCACCTCTTTCTTGTTATATATTCCGATCATGCAGTGACATCTCATATGAACTCATGTGAACTACACAGTAAGAAGAGTCCTTCTTTCTACCTTGTTGCCTTCTCTTAATAAAGGATGTCTGAAAAGGATTGTGATAATGAGAGTTGCTCTGCTCTTAACGTGCTTTGAAGAATGCTTTGAAGGAGTTGCAGAAACTAGTTGAAAAAACAGTAGCACAGAAGACAGAGGAAATATTAGGCTTGTATATTAAAGATGGTAAGAGGCTCTTTCTGATTAAAAAGTGTAATTTTCTTATCGAGAATATGTGTCAGCAACAAAACTGTAGAAAAGACATCAAATTAACGTTCAAACTATGACTTCTTGACTGTTACAGGAAACAGGTAGATTGCTCTGGGAGAGTACTTTTCACCTCCTTGTAGGACTTTTGGACAAATTACAATGCCGTGGTAATTGTTCACAAAGTATAATTGGCAGAGTTGCCACATCTACAAGTCATCATTTCTGTGATGTTTCTTGTGATCTGTTAAAGCACAAAAATGATGAATTATGTAAATCCAATTTCTTGATGGTAAATAATTAGGGCAAAGATTTGCTTTTTTCAGTTCTAGTGGCTATTATTGCATGAAAGGATAAACTTTATCCCAGCACACCTTTCAGGTTCATTTCAACAAACCAGAATCGTGTTATTGAAGTAAGGGAAGACAAGAAGAGCTGAGAATTTTTCAGATATTCTTTTATCTGTTTCCTGTCATGTGTTGCAAATCATGTGGTTTTAAAAAGTAATACTGAACTTTTTTTTTCAAAATGCGTTAATGAATACAGTGTGAGAAGATGTGATCTGCACTTTTTTGATTTTGAAGGAGAAATAGAACAGGAAGTAGAGGACAGAAGCTGTAACATGAGTCCTTTGTCTCTCTATGTCACAATAAGAGCAGCCTCATTATTATTTATTCTGGCCATCGTTCAGTTGCTTAAAAAATAAATAAATAAATAAATAACTTGGAATATAGATGTGCCTTTGAAGCTAAAAATTAGATAAAACGTATTGTGTGTGTTGATCTAGGCAAAAACAAAATTGAAGGACTGTCTTGGAGTACCTCATTTGTGGCTTCGTTATCCTGTGCAAGAAGTGATGTTTAATTTCAACAAGCTGAGAAAGAGGCTCCATGTTTATTTTTACTCTATTAGTAAACAGTTTAGAAACTTGTACTTACTTGTTGTTTAAATGCAAGATTCCAGGGAAGACATTTGAAGACAGGAGGGTAAATCTATCTTTCTGAATTTTTCTTGTGAAATATGAGTGGTAACACCTATTCTGTAACCTGATGCACTTTTATCAATGACTTGAGAGATGAAGGAGGTAACACTAATTTAGCTGTAATTTAGCTTGTGTTATTCTGTGTGCTATGCTATTATTAACTTTAGTCTAAGTAAGAAAAATCCTATTCTCCTTGTACCAAAACCTGGTATGTGAAATTTGAGCATCAGAAGATCTGTGTTCAGTGAAAGGAAAAGTTGTAAAATGAAAAAAATCCCCAAAGCTACCCCTAACCTATTTCACTACAGTAGGGGCTTACTATTTCAGGCCATTATGTCAGTGAAGGTTTAAGTACAGGCAGAGCTTTGCTGACCTCTGCCTTTTTCCCCATCTTGACGAGTTTAAACAACTAAGTGTTTTGCAAATGACAGTATTGTCTCTATGAGTTTTTAGCTAAGAGATTCCCTGAACTGGATTTTCTGCTGACTATCTCTGGCTAGTTTCGGACTTCTAAATATGTTGTATAAAACAGCTTAACACATGGGAGAATCCAAACTGCTAATTCTAGCAGATTTTTAAGAGCAATATTTGTTTGTACTGTGCTGGTTACAGCATCAATTCTAGTATTAGTAAAAATAATAATAATAATAATTGGAATTAAATTAATAAAGCCTGTGTAAATTACATTTTCATTTGTAGGTGAATTACTTTTCTTTCCTACAATGATGTTCCTGTTTAGTACATCATCAGCTGAGCTTGCAAATCTAAATTCTTAAACCTTATGCTACATTGGTTATGTGAGTTTGAGGAAATTGGCCCCAGTTCTCTCTAAGATTCTTGAACCTATTATGTTGATGCACATGAATGCATGATGAAGAATGACCTAACTAAATAAAAACATTTTTCCTGTTTGCTTTGTAAAAGAGCACTGAGCTGTCTACCAGAACTTCTTATCCTCAAGCAAAGTTTGATATTCTAGATTCCTGACAAGGCAGCAGGATTTGGATCATAGAGCCTGAGGGTAGAAATCAATATGTCCAGGTCTTCTGAACTACTTCACTGATAAGCATTAGCCTCAGGCATCTTGACAAAATGCAAATATCATATGACTACAGTATGCAATTTGTGCCCTGAGGGTAAGTCTATCTTTAGCAAGACCATTGCAAATCTTTCCTCTCCTTCTTCTCCCAGAGATAGATCTGCCCCTTACTTTTGATTGGAAGCTTTAGAGCTATGCCACCATTTTAGTAGATTTTTTTGTAACCGGAAAATTATTGAAGTCTGTAAGTGAGTGAGGTAATCCATTTTTCTTTTTCTAATAGTGGTAAATAGCAAATCCTGACAAAAAGAATGTAATAATTAGTTAAGTAGATCTGGTTTACCTCTCTTAGTTTCTGACAGCATATAGCAGCTTAAGCTTTTTCTGCAGCAGATTTGCTGATGCAATCTATGCTTAGTATCTCTTGATGGACTTTTCATCTACCTGTCTGTAAATTAGTTCTGAATCCATCAAAAGAGGATGCTTCCATAGCATCCACATTTTTATATATTGTATGAAAAATACTTTGTCTCGTTTCTTTTAAATGTGGTGGCCTACTTTCCAAAGTGTTCTGAGAAATTATGAATGCTTGCTCTAGTGAAGTGTCTTTTAATAAGATGTTTACCATGGATAGTGTTTCAAGCAACTGTTGTACAAAAACAAATTATTTTTACATTGTTAGATCCAATCTGTATCAAGAGCATCCACAACCAAATGCTTAGATCTTTGTTTTATTTTATGCCTGAAGATGGGTGGTTAGGGGACATAAATTCCAGCACACAGTAACTCTGCTGTAACAGCATAGGTGACAAGCCCTTGCTGGTCTTAAAGCCAGGAGGCAACGTATTACTGAGTGATTAATTCTTTAGCATATTTCCATTTTACATTACAGTAGAACATCACATTATTTATGTGAATGTTGAAGATAACCAACACCTGTTCTTTTCATTTTATTAACAACTGCTATCGAGTAGTTTCCTAACACCATCCTGAAAACAATGTGTTTGGTCTTTTCTGTTTAATAAGCTTCTTTATGAGAAGATTTCTGGTTAATACCTCTCTTAAAATTGTTCTTTCTTGCAATGTCACCTAACTCACAAACTTTGCTTATGTCAGGGATTAAAAATTTTCTTCAACTAGGGCCTGAGGGAAATTTAGTAAATCATTATCTGTAGAGGACATCAGATATCATGTAACTGCCTTCTAGTGAATTTGACTGTCAGACAAAACTTCAGGCCACATCCATTTCCTTTCTTACTAATTCACCTTGTGAGATGTAAATTTGAAATCTCTTTTTCTTTGCATGTCATACTTGCATATCACCCTTCTTCCTTACTTCCTCACTAAACATGAGAGGATAGTTAAAGATGCAGTCCTGGCTTTGCTCAGTATTTCTTTGAAACTCACTAAAAGAATAGGAAAAAAAAATTGCAGATTTGCTGGTACAAGTTGTACAAGCTGAGTTCTTGAAATAGCCAGCTGCCATCAGACATGAGGTAATGTTTCATTACAGCCCTAGTGAAATTCTCACATGATTCAGCATCCTCTGCTTCATTTCAAACTCCTTGCTTCTTGTATGGGAGAGAAGAGTGAGGTGACAATCTCTTGTGTAGAGGTGACAAGCTAGACACATATACTATAGAGTATGATACGCTCTACGGGCACGAAATGGAGACCAGTTGAGAAAACTACTTCTGAATTCATGCTGACTGTCAGGTTGAGCCAACCCTTTGTTTAGGAAAGCCAAGCAGTAGCAAATTATGTTCAGGCCCTCTACCTAATAAGATAACTGAAGAAAGATCTATTCGTTTACTAGAGTAGTGTCTTTTACTGCAGATTCTTACCTGAGTTTGCGGTACAGTCAGGCTAATTACCTACGTTACATAATTATTTTTAATTCCTGAAGCCATTGGCTAAATTGATGATATGCTTAAATAATGTTGTAGAAGATATTCAGAAAAAGGAGGGAAATATGATTCGAGGTACAGAATTTTTAGCATATTAAGCACAAGAATTGGTGCAAGCAACTGACTCAGCATCAGCATTAATGAAGGAACTAAAGAACAAAAGAAACCTGGAAAAGTCATAGAAAGTTTCTTCATTAGCCTAACCATGTTTAGGATAGCAAAAGGATCACCATTAATTGGTCTCCTTCAATAAAATGTCTCCTTCAAGCTCTAATCTTTTTAACTTCTTGACATTTAAAGATTTGCATATTCACTTACTTGTTAGGACAATAGATTTTTTTTTTCTTCCACCCACATTTGTAGCCCCTCCTCTTTTTTATTTTACTTTTCTGAAGTTTACTCTAATTAACACTTGAACAGCCTAAGTCCCTTTTCTTTTCTCATCCTCCTTAGGCTTTTCTTTCAAGTGAAACTTTTTCAGGAAAAAAAAAAAGAAGACAATTTCTGTCTTGCATGATTAAAGAACTATTGAAATAGTAATTGGCCTTTTAAGAGACTGGAAACTATTCTGGGTATTCTACTTGAAACTGGCTGTTGTTTTAGAGAGATGGTGAAATAGATATGTCTCCCTTAATTGATACATTCATTCTTATATTTTTCATTAACCTACTAGTTATGTTAGACAACTCACATTTATAATCTGCAATTTGGACATACTATTAATTACCCCCTGTGAAAAATGGAAGTAGCTTCCTTTTTATCACTTAATTTTTCAAATGAATCATCAATAATGGTTACTTTCTGTAACATTCTAAATAGCCATTGTGTCTTCTGCTATCTATGCTCCAGTTCTCAATTTTTTTCTACAAGGACTATATTTCATCCCTGTTCTCCTGAATTCCCCTGCTGCTTTTGTTACTGCTGAGCATTTCATATATATTGAAAGTCAAGGAAGAGGCATACACGTCACTTTGTTCCTTTGATACTTCTCTTTTTATCATCTCTGTCTCTCTCTTCCTTCCCAGAACTCTGTCCCTGACCCTTTGTTCCTCTTTTCCTGCTCTCACAAATACAAAATTTCCTTCTCCATAACTGGCTTCTCTTTAGCTTGACAAAATCTGCAGGATGTGTTCCTGTGACCTAAAAGATCACGGAGTGTGACTGTTTCTACTCCTTTATCTTTTTGATGTTTCTCTTTTTCAAGTACTTCCATTTTCAAGGGTGTCCTAAGTTCCCTGAACTCCATAACAACATGCCCATACTCAAATAACACTTTTTTATATTAAAAAAAATAATAATAATAATTTAAAATGTTCTCTTTAATCTCATTAGAGTACACTTTTAGTCATTTACTGTCTCCAAAATTTAGAAGACCTAGGTGGCCTAACAGGTGTCATTTATCAGTTGTCATCTGACTTGAAAAACTGACCTCTGCATTCCTCTGCATTCCAAAGGTAGCTGACACTTTGAAAGTTCCATTTTTAGTGGCAATAATGAACAATATGTAAATTGTATTTTGCATCATATTTTATGCTCTTTGTCAACCTCTGGTATTGGATGGGGTTTATTGGGATCCCTTTCTCCATGTCAGCAGAAGCTATTTTTGCTGCTGTAAGGGATTTCTAAGATGTACTTTCTTTGGGCAGTGTTCTGCCTGCTGGGCAGTGACAGTGGACTCAGCAGTGACCTGATACAAGGTTATCATTTAAAAAAGGTTATCATTTAAAAAAAAAACTACTCCCACCAAAAAAATATTCCCTGGAAAGGTGGAGGGCTTGTTCTCCTTTGCCTGAAAAAAAAAATAGGAATATGTGCTTAAAAGAAAAATGGCACTCCTATCTTTCAAGAAGGCTGAGAGGAAGGATCAAGGGAACTACAGGATGATTAGCCTCACCTTAATCTCTGGTAAAGATGACAGAGCAACTAATTCTGGAAAACATTTCCAAACACATAAAGGACAAGAAGGTGACTGGGAGTAGTCAGCATTGGTTTACAAAGGGGAAATCATAGAAATCATGCTTAACCAACCTGATGGCCTTCTACAGTGACATGACTATAAGGGGAGAGCAGCAGATGACATTTACTTTGACTTTAGTAAGGCTTTTGACATTGTCTTCTATAACATATTCTTAGACACACTGGCAAAGTGTGGGTTAGTTCAGTGGGTAGTGAGGCAGAAAAAATACTGGCTGAACCCCTCAGCTGCAGAAAAAACAGCTGAAGGCAAGTCAGTAGTGGTGTATGCCAGGGGTCAATACTGAGGCCAATACTATTTAATATCTTAAGATATGACATGGATGATGGGAGTTCCAGTTGTGTGCCTGTTGCAGAGTTGCATTCAGACATGAATCTAAAATTCAGATTTATGTTTGGGTACAAGATGGAAAAATAAGGTGATGTCACAAGAAACTAAAAGGAGAAATTTTAGAGGCATAATAGACAGTGATTTGTGATGGATAATTGTGTACATGGTAAGGAGGAAGCTACAAATTGAAACATGAAGACTAACTTGTATAAGAATATGCACAATATTTTTGTTGAAAGTTGTATGTCTGAATTGCTCAGAGAAGAAAAAAGGGATCTCTGTTGTATAACATGAAAAATGTTGAACTAGAAAAGAGTGCAAAATTTTGTCTATTTCATAGGAGAAAGTGGTGCCGTGTCTTCCCAGGGTCAAGAAGAAAACATTGTTTTCCTTGTATCTGAAAAACAGCAGATTACTCATCCAGGTGACCTATTTCATCTTGAGTTCAAAACAACAACAACAAAATCACTGTTCAGTACTCTGTGTTGCACATTATTGAAATTACAGTTGTAAGATCTCATGGCTGCCTTTGTTTACTAATCATGCTTCTTGTGTGTTCCAGAATTTATGTTTCTTAGTAAACTGCCTCAATATACTACTGCTGCTCTGCCCAGTTCTCTCACCATTTTCCTCTATTTTTTTTAAATTACAACATTGTCTGTCAGGCTATTTATTTATGCAGGGTTTTTTTTTGCCTTTCCATATCTTTCAAAAAAAAAATAAATAGAACTAGCATATCCATAATTCATTAACAATATTTTAAAATGTAACATGATTATTTAAATCAGGTATGGGATAATCTATGATGTATTACTGCATTACTGCCTTGGAGTTGGTGCCAATATGTATTTCAGGAAGAGAGAATGCTCTTGGTTTTATGGTTTTATTCGTTCAGTATTATGTTTTCAAAAGTATGTAGACTTTTCTGTGCCTGTGAGGTGAAGAGTAATATTGTGTCATTAACAGTTGTCAAGAGACGAGATGTGATTAAAAGCATAGTGAAAGTGCCTCATCTGGATTTCACAGTAACATCCTCTCAGAAAGGAGTGCTAACTATTTTTAACAACCAGGTAATTCCGACTCAAACTTTTCATTTTTCTGCTAGATACTGTATGCATGAACTGAGTGAGCTGTGATCTAAAGTGCAAACTTACCCATAAAAAAAGCTAGATATCTTTTTTTTTTTTTTTTAAATAAAGTTAACCATTTTCTATACTTTTAAGTACAGTGGGAAATATACATTGCTATTTTGAATTATAAACTGACTCAAGAGTCCATAAAAGTTGATAGGAAATAGAGATGGTTGTAAAACAAAATCCTAATAGAAGTCATTTTAATATAAAATAACCTGCTTTCCTTTTTCTAAAAAGTGTTATTTAATACAAAATATCCTATTGGAATTAACTTTTGCAAAAACAGTGGAAACCAGAGTATTAACAATTTGCTACAGCTACTGGGAATATTCAGAACAGAAAAACATTTTTCAGTCTGCAAAGAACAGTTACTCAATACAGCAAGGTCTTGAAGCTCAAAAGTCTTGAATTTTCTGGCAGTCTGCATGACACTGCTTCTCTCCCCTTGTCAGCAAGCCATAAGGAGATCTATATCATTTTAAGTAGAAGTTCAGGCTCAAGATATTGTTAAAATATATTTAGTAAGTGAGTCTCCCAGATAATACTACTATCTAAACATATATAATTCTAAATGTTGTGAGGTACATCACACAGATATGCTCATTGGCACTTTACATTTGTACAACCTTAATACAACCAATTTATTAAAAGCTGTTTAAAACAATGCAGTAAAGTTTTAAAGCATCAATAAGATTTTCTAGAGGTTTCAGCTAGTTTCAGTTTATGACAGAAGTGTGTAAAGCAAGAACTTACTCCTGTGGATGATTAAACAACAAAGCAATACTGCAGTTTTGGTAAATTCTAAACTAATTTATTTGAAAGCCTAATTCTTTGACCTCCAGAGCATTATCCCTCTTACGTACCTAGGAGAAATAATTTCACAAAGTATAATGTTAAAAATAGATCTCTTCCCTACTCCCTACATCCCCATGCAGTTTTGAAGTTCAGAATTGCTGCTTCCTCATAGTCTGGACTGATGTCACTGACATCAGTGACTGCCATGTAAATAGTTTTCCATACAGCTGCTTAATGCAGTGAATTGGGGACCTCAAATTCCATTTACAAGACTGTACATTCTGAAAATGACTAAGGCATTACGATAGCAGTCAGTTACTCATGATATGATCTCTGATCTCAGTTGATATGAGCAAATGACCTTTGACTTCATTAAAATTGCTCTGATACATCTTGATACAAGCAAGAATAAAATCTTGCTCTTTAGCAATGCAGTCACTTGAATCCTGTTATTAGAATATGACTTCATATCACAAAGCCAAATATAAAGTTAACAACTTTTACATCATTTTTCTTCACCCAAAGGCCAAAAATTTAAAGAGAACTGGCTTTAAAGTCTCAGCTAGTGACTTGTTTTGGCTAGTCTAGTTTTGTAGCCTATTGGTAAGGAACTACAAAGATTCTTGCCCTGAAGTTGCTGTTTGGTGGGACTTGTGCTCTGGCTAGAGGGGCAAAAATACGAGTTCATGAGCAGTTCATTGACAAATGTGGAGGCTTATTTTGGGTATATTTGTTGCATTTTTAAAGTAGAGGTGATTACACGTGGTCTTCTTGGATACACATATATCCCACACAAGTCCGTGTGTTCCATGTACATGAATGAGTAATATTTGGTCTGATATAATCAGCGAATCTAAATAATATATATTTTAACTGTGCCACTTCTGAGATATTTGACTGCTAAGAAACATATATATGCAGCAAGAGACAGTGCCATATTCTATTCATTCACACTGATGTAAGTTGATGTGCAAACAAGCTTTCCACAAGATCAATTTAGTGTTATTCTCTCTGCTCTTTGGAAAGCAAATACAACTTAACAATTTCCTTAATGTTTGCTTTATATCATTGGAATCATGTCAGTTGACAATCTAGAGTTTTTATTTGACACTGGCTAGAAACTGAGAATAGTTTAAAACTGCCAAAAAAAATCAACAAATAGGAACAGGAACGATAAAGAGGTAGCAAATCATCACGCAGCTTGTGAATGTGTTAAGCTTCAGTTATATAAGAATTGATCAGATTTTTTTCCAGAAAATAATTAGTATCAGTCATGTTAGATGGCATTAAGAGTGCTAAATTTAGACAGTATACATCAAGATAGCTTTCAAGATCATCTCCTGTTTCACTGGTAACAGTCTTCCATCATTCACTACATCAATTCCCAGTTAATCCAATTGTCTAAAAGAGGGCTTGGAGGCTTTTCTAAACCCTGATTGCTGTGATACAAAATCCTATGTTCTCTCACATATCTGCAGCTACTAGAAATTGAAGGGAAGGCAAAGAAACAGTTACTTATTTGTAGGATAGAGTGTTCTTTATCTGAGGGCTAAGCATTGCTGTCTGCGACAGATATGGACCTAATACACTACAAAACCTGTATGCAGCACTGCATTATCAGCCATCTCCTGCTTCCTCTAGAACATAAACCAGATACGTACCCTCCTCAGGATCTCAGGCGTGGACACTGTCTCAGGCAGCACAGAAGAGCTGTATAGGTAGGCAGCTGGAAAAATCTCTGTGTAGGCTCTAGTTTATGTTATTGTACATAAAGTCAAATCTGATACAGTGAGTGGATATGAAACAGTTGTTTAACAGTTCTGTTAAATTCTGCTCAAAGACTGTCCATGATGACTCTGGGCAGCATGCCTTTATGGGAAGAAAGAGTTTGATCTCAGCTTCTCCATTTACAAACTGAGGAATTGCTGGGATGGGAATGAGGCACTACTGATTTATTACTGATAATGGACATGGGCAAGAGGAGGTGAAAAAGCAGCTATGGATGTTTCAGGAGGGAATGATTAAAACTGATTTTGAAAACTGAACATTAGTTTGGTTAGAAGACAAAGGTGACCCTGTCTTTGCTGTACGATTGTGTGGGATATGCCTACCACCCTGGGACTTTAGTTTTCAAGGCACATGTTATGCTGTCTGCTAATAGTTAATTTTGTTGAAAGATGCTGTACCAATATGCATATTCCTATTTGCAATGTAAGGTTATATCTCTACCTGGTATTTTGCTGGCAATAGTTAACGTCATCTGGGACAGCATTAACTTGTGTTTCTGTATCCCACATCCTACCTCACATAGGATCCAAAACTGTTCTATTAGAAGCACAATTTCATCAGATGAAGAGCTGATCTGTACTCTGCTGTAAATTTTTTTTTACTGATTTTGCTCAAACTAACATCTCAATTTAAAAAAAAGGAAATTAAAAAGTTAAAAAAAAAAAAGTGAACCAGTGAGAGAAAAAGAGGGTTTAACTTCCTCGCTTTACATGTAGAGCAACAGACAGACAATCTAGAAATGTTTCTCAGAAAGACCTTAACAGCAATCTTTCTGTTGGCTATTATTTTTCTGTTTTAATTTAATTGCTATCTAGTTATTATGACAGCATATTTTTGTTTTTCAGATGAAGGTTCTGGCAACCACCAATGTTGAAATAAGTTCATTTTTCTCTTTCTTTTTAAATCGTTTGAATTAAAAATCAATATATACTAAAGTGAAATAAATAGAAACTGAACATTTTTCTGATGCAACTTCTGACCTCAAGACTTCTGCATAATCTGGCATAGTGTACCACAGGTCAAATGTTCAATTTGTTCTTCTCAATTACACAAACATTTAGGTGATTTGATTTCTTTCCTCTGATAAAAAGAAACCTGAGGAAAATGCTGCATTTTCTACCAAATTGTCTATCAGTAGAATTTCTAGTAGAATTTTCCAGGAATTTTTCTTCTAAGCTCCAATACTTCATTTGTCAGTGTAAAATTTAAATGAGAAAGAGTATACATGCATTAGTGGAAAACAGTTCTACATCTTACTAATTAGATTAGTTGGCTACATGGTATATATTTTAAAAGATTGTTTTTACCCTGGGAGCGTCACTGCAGACTTTAGATAATGAGTTTCCTTCAGTTAAGATGAGATGCAGATGAGAGCTGCAATTGGTCTGCAACAAAATGGCGTGATCCCTTGCCCTAAAAGTTTCTGTAAGTATTTTGTGCTATTGGTCAGTGCTTTTTTGTTGATTCTGTCACATATTGTGAATGCTGCAAAAAGGAAAAATAAATAAACAATACCAAAAAAAAACCTCCAGACCACAGGTACAGCTATTCCAACTTCAAAAAGCAAACAAACAAACAAAACCTCAGTGCTGGGATTGCATTTAATTTTTTGCAAGGCTAATCTGACCTGTGTAATTAACATGGAGAGTTAAACCATAAGAAACATTCTTGGGACCTATTGACTTCTGGAAACTTAGACTAGGATCTTAGAGCTTCTCCTACCACTGTGTTACAGGAGTGAATTTTAATAGTATGCTTCTGATTTGCTTGTAAGAACAATTTCCCCCGTCCAAGTGTATAAAGGTAGGATCACATCAGAACAGCATTTGGTGTTTGGCCCTGGTGAAACCAAGGGGAAGAAGCCGGAACGTCAGCCTGGTGCTACAGTGGGCAGTCTGTGGCTGCATGGTCCTCTTCTTCATCTGGGCACCAAGCACTACTCTTATAATGTATCATCAGGAGAGGTGGATGGCATTTTACTTTGGCAGAAGGAAGGTATTTGGAAGACATGGCAGAATTAGGCACTGTTCAAGAACATGTATGCCATAAAAAGTGTGAAAGAAGGGTGTGTTTAATATAATGGTACCTCTCAGTGTTAGAGTATAACCATAGTTATTAGGACTGTAATTCCAAATGGATACAGTTCCAAAACTGGTACATTTTTTTAGTATCTGTAAACGCAAAAATCTGTTCAGCTCTGCACCAGATCCATGTGACCTAGCCTAATCTGACGTCTCTTTTGTTAAGTGCCACCCTCTCATGCATTTCCCCCCGAGATGCTTCCACTTCTGCATGCTTCCCTAGGGAAAGAGAAAAGGAGGATAGTAAAGGTTTGGACCCCTCCCCCTTGCAATGTAGGATCGTTGCTGCTGGTTATCACTGGATCAGTGGGGATCGTTGCTGCACACAACACTATGCAATCCTTCTGGCCCTCTGTTTGAAAGATTAGCTGTTGTTATATTCACTTTTTTGGTATCACAATTGTGAAAATTTCAGGTACTCTACTTAAAAATGCCCCCCTTCTGCATCCTGCTCTGCTTTGTTGAAGGGAAAGGGCAATCTTAATTTAACAATCTTAATTTGAGTGTTTGCACTGAACAGTCATCCCTTTAGCTTATACAGCTTCCTCTCATCCTTCTAACTGCAGCAGTGGAAATAGAATTAAAATGGCTATTACTGACTTGAACTTTTTGTTGGTTGTTAAAAGATTTTGATGTTTACAGAACACAATGTTTTAAGCTATTCTGTTCTTAACTGGAATTTTATATCCTTACCCCAGATTGCAGTGAAATAAAATTCTGGATTGTTTTGAGAGAATAAATTCCACTTCCAAGGCGGTTGAAATGTATGATGTTACTAAATGTATTAACTTGGGTATTCTTTGAGAGATATATCTCTAGAATTTGGTTACGATTATTTTAATTATTTCAAAATAAGCTTATTAAAATTGAATGTTCTCATTTCAAAAACTTTTATCTAAAAAATTATTAAAAATCAAATGCCATTTATCTTATGAGTGTAAGTCATCACCCACAGTGCACTTATTAAAGATACAGTGAACTATACTAGTAGAAGACTTCTAATGGTCTTATAAATGTTATAATATAGAACTATGAGAAAAACCTCGTGATTAATTTCTGAATAGCTAGCGAGAAAGCTGCCTTTGCCTTGCAGGGCTTTTATTTCTCATCTTCAGATCTGCAGAAATAAGTCCTTTCTTTTTTCACTGTAATTGTTGTGCCATTTTCATCTGATTTTATGCCATCTTCAGTACTGGCATTAGCTAATTGATCAAGTTGTGCATTTGTATGCATCCTTATGCAAATGAAATAAGGCACTGAATTCAGAGATAAATTACTAGACTCCAAACCTTCCATCTATGGTGGCTAACAATTTGCAGAACAGTCCTTAGGTTCCTCTACCTTCTTCCATTAGTGTTCTCATTCTAAAGGTGTAACAGAACAGAGATTTAATCAGTGACAGAGATCTTGGCCCTGAGGATGTTGAGCTAAAAAGGCTGCAAAACACAGTAGTTCTAGGAATAAAATGCAGGAAATTGCAACCGTCAGAACTTTCCCAACATCATGACTGTATATACAGAACATGAGCTATGTGTACAGATCATTTATGATTTTGTTCCAAATATTTTATGGAGGACAGGTCACTTCAATCAAACCTGATTTCATTCCTTGATGAGGTTATGTAGCTAAGTGAAAAGAGAAGAGGCATAAAGATAACACACTTAGAGCTGTACTGTATTTGACTTAGTACCATATGACTTTCTGTTTTAAAATATGACCACTGCAAACAAAACACTAAAGTGCATGTTAAATCGATTAAGGACTGTCCAAATGACAGATGCCAAAAATATTACTCAGCATGGAAATATCATTAAATGGGAATATTGGTAGGGAACAAGTTGCTTCTCTTGAAGAATAGAAATGAAATGTCCTTTAAATATAATGCAGAAAAGCATACACAGACCCAGAGGATGGAAGCTAGGGCCAGGCAAGCCAAAATCAGAAATTGTAGCAGATATGAAAGAATGAAGATAGAGGCCTGAAGTGACAGAACAGAAGAAAGAAATAGCAAAACCTGGTGCAGCCGCTTGTATGTCAAGTTCTGTAGTGCTAAGGAGAAGCACTTAACACCTTAGCTCTAAAGCTGGAATTAGGCAGTACGTTTTGCTGGTAGTCTGTGGCGAACCTTTCTCTTCGATCAGCCACTTCTCAGTGTATCAAGCTGATCTGTTGTTAGTTCGCTCATTGCTCTCTTCAGGATTTCATACTACTAATTTATGAGCAGTCTCAAGCCCTACTAGGAGTTTGTTTTGATTTCATTGTGGATCTTTAGGACAGAGCACCATTCTCTGCTATTTATTCAGCCTGTTCATTCTGAAGGCTAAGGTCTTTGAACACAGAACTAGCCTGGCAGGCAGTATTGCCCAACTTGAACAGTCTCTCCATCTCTGTTAGGCTCTAACTTCTCAGTTGACATTCTTTGGAGCATGCAATGCAGAAAGCCAAACTCAGTTATTATAGTGGACTCCCCAGCCCTTTATATCTATGGATCTTTGATGTAATTTAAGTAATTTCACTGAAATTAATAAAGACAAATTTAGTGCAACTTGAGATGTGAATCCTTCATGCATGAAAACATTTCTGTTGCTGCCTGTTCCAGGAAGCTTCAATTTAGCTATGCTGGATCTTTTCCTGACTCCCAACTTCTAATAAACTGGTGCAATAAACATCTTTTTTCCTACTTTTGCTACTGTATTATCAGATAAGACTGTGCCTACAAATAATGCAAAAGCAAAGAAGAGAATAAATCCAGAATATATTTTACTAATTCTTGCTTTTTGCTGGGTATAGAAATAGCATGCTATATGTTGCAACATGATTTTTTTTTTTTTCAGATATAATTTTAGGCTGCCAGTCAGTAATTAGAAATATATATCTTCTGTAGAGGGAAGAATCTAACAAGATTCTTAGATTGACTTTTATCGTTTGTTCTAAGTAGTATACATACCTTTTAAGAATTACAATACCTTTTAAGAATTACAGAAAAAAAGTTTATTTAGGAATTTCAGCATAGAGTGAGCAGGGACATAGCAAAAATAAATGCACTCATAATACCATCTTTTTCTGTCATCTTCAGAGAAGGATAAGTAATACAAATATATCAACTAATAATAGCTAGATTTAAGCTTTTACCAGAAAAACTCCTTCATAAATTCTTCTCCTAACTGCAGCTTCCCTGTCATGTATACTTTGTTATTTGCACAAAATCACATATCTGTCTTTGTTAATGATCTTTTTTTTCTCATGAAAAGACATGCTTCCATGAATGCTGGAATTGTTGCCTGAAAAGTTGGTGAGAACTTTTCATGTCATTTCGTAAAATCTTTTTTCTTTTTCCTACTGGTTAATGTGTTGGGCTAGAAGGGACTCGTATGATGGTTATTCAGAAATGAAAGGAAACCTGTTAAGTCATCAGAGCTGAAATGCTTGAATTCTTTGAGCAGTCATTCATTGGCTTTCAACTCAGTAACCTCATTAAGGTATTCTGAACTGTTCTTATGCCAAAACTGAAGCTGAGCAAAGATGTACTTATCCATTCAGGCTTCTGATGGACTCTTAACCATCCTTTTTTTTTTTTTATTAAGCCTAAGGTGTTGATGAGGCTTAATAAACAAATTGTCAAATCTGTAACTCACATATACCACCACAGGCATAGCAGAAAGCACCTTATATTTCAGCACATTAAATTAATGCAGAAGTAACATACGTATAAGTCTCTATAATAAACCATGGAATAAGACTTCTGAAATGCTCCTCTGCATCTGATATGAGTTAGTGATAACAGAGGTTGAACCTGGCAATTTCATTTAAGAGCTGTTCTGGAGAATTCCCAGTCCCATTACCTGGGTTTGAATTTAGTGCTGAGTATATGGAATTTATGTGGAGATGGTTTAAAATATGTATTTTAACAACAGACGAGATCACTGGATGTGATTTCCTAACTCCAATGGAATGTGTTGTGGCTGTAACTGAAAGAACAATCATCATCTGGGACTATAAATCAAAAGGAAGTCAAGTAGTATGTTGGATCACGCAAATGTTAAAAAGGAGGTCTGAAAAAGATTACTCTTTGCTTTCAATGTACATTCATGTATCCTTTTGTCCGACGGGATGAAGGCATTAACTTTTGTCTTTGTAGGAATTCAGTAAAACAGTGGAATACTGAAGAAGGAATACCCTTCCACACCAAACAGGCTTTTTAGACTGTCTTAAAAACTTGCAAGAAAGAGGAAAATATGTTCCTATGTTGCAGACAGACCACCAAAGCAGTTTAGTTTTCTGTGTATATCTGATGTGTATATGTTCACATTTATAACTGATGTATATGCATTTTTATATTGAACTGTATTTAAAGAACAAAGGGACAAGTCTTCCAAAGGAATTCAGCATAGAGTCCTTTGAGGTAACTTCTTGATTTAAAGAAAACCTTTCTTCAAATACTACATTTTCAGGATTTTTCAAGAGTAAAAGCATCTTGATGTAGACAGCATATGTTCAAGCAGTTAAAGTCTTCTTGAATACCTTATTACAAAATATAAGTTTTGCAAGGATTTCTAATCCATTTTTTAGTTTTTTTCTTTAGTTCCAACGTCTTTTCACAGTAGTTCTGAGTTAGCTGAGAAGATGAGATGAAGTAAAGTAAATATTTTTCGAATAAGATTGAGCCTTAGGATTTTTCATTTGTTCTCTTAATATTAAAAGGTCTGTTCCCAAGCTCAGCTAAGTCAATCTAAGTCATTCTGCCAATTCAGTTGGACTCCTGGGAAGGAAGGCTCAAACACATATTCTCATAGAGCTTTCCTCCAGTCATTACATAAGTGAGATTTGAAACTGTCTTGGATGAATAGGAACAGTTCTCTTCTGAGATCCCAGGAATAATATCCAGACAGTCTGTATCTGTGTTATGTCTCTTCAGTGTTTCTGTGCTACACAGAGAACCACGAAGTGGTTAATTCCTATGGCATATGAACCATTGCCAGTTTATGTTGGCAAGGATGCTTTAATCAAATAACAGATGGAGTCAGACAGTAGAACCAATAAACATTATAATGTAGATGACCAAAAATCTCATTCCCGGGTCTTCTCAGTATAGCAAAATACCACAATGGCTTGCCACTGTATTCATTGCCACTGTCTCAATTCCTAAAAATTCAAAAGCCTGCCCATGTAAGTACACTTGATATTCTTAGGCTGTAGTAATAACTCCTAGTCTGTGTGTGCTATTGCTGCATTTTATGGTTTGAATAATTCTGTAAGTCAACCATTTCACATTTTCTTTTAGATGGCACCTTCTTTTCCGACAGGGAAGCCATTTACGATTGTAGCAAATACATCATTCCAATTAACTACTGAATTTCACAGAATAATTGCTTTATCATCAAATCAATGGAAAATGGTTTGCTCTGTGTTTGCATGGTGACTATGTCAGATCACCTGGCTGATGATAATATCATAATGGGAGATGATAAGGGTTATGTTCACCTGCTTAAAGTGACCGGTGATCACTTCGGATTGAAGTAATATAAAGGTGAAAAGGAATCACAGATTCAGATTTTGGATTCCAAAAATTTTAACATGTAAGTTACTTATGATAAAATATTATCAGTCTGGCAATATTTGTTGAATTTGGGTGTTCTCTGGTCTGGGTGGAGGATTAGCTTCTATGTGTAAATTAACCTCACCTGAAAAGAAAAAAAGATAAAAAATGCAGGAAGTGTAATTTGCTCTTCATTGTGTGAAGGAAATACTGTAATTTTCAGCAGGAGATCTTACAGCAGCAAGGCAACAGAGCAAATGTCCAGGGAAGAATTCACAATTGCTTTTATCCAGACATAGGGACAGCCTTATTGTTCCTGATTAGATAGAAGCATAATTGCTGCTAGAGAAGTGCATGATTCAACTCTAACCTCAGTTCTGCTCTAAGATCTGCTTGCTTTTCAGCTGGAAGAGTGGTTCTGGATCTGGCCTGGATATTAAACACTAGCATTTATTGCATATAATCGCATTCACAAAACTATTCAGCCATGGGCATATTACAGTAGATGCTATTATATCCTAATAACATCTCAATTTATATCCCTAATGTTAAACACAAACTACATGATGACTGGGTTGTGAAAGTTAAGTACATTTCTGACCTAAATTGTTTCGGATCCTGCTCCTCAGACAGTATTCATTCATTTGTTTTGGATGACATAAAGAGACTAGAGGATAGCTTGTATGTATATGTCATCTTCCAAAAAAATATACTTCTTGCCTTAGAAGTTTGCATGAGATCTGTGCTATGCAAGATTCTGTCCTGTTGTATTGAAAATATCTTTATCCAAAGCATTGATAATACAAATGAAAATACAACTATTGAAGTACTTGAATGTTTTTGTATTCTAGCTTTTAATGTAGGACTGTCCTTATATGTTTATTATTTACCACCCCTAAAAATAAGTTACACTTGCAATATTATCTGCTTTAACTTCTCAGTAGGCAAATTTTAGTTATAAAATAGATTACTTTGTTACTTGTATATCATGTATCTATTCATTTGAACTTTATATCCAATATATATATAAAATATATATATATGTTCGTGTGTTTCGTTTACAGTTTCAGTTTCACAAGTTCTGTTAAACCAACTAGCTTAAACCAAGAGACCAATGTATTCTGAGGGCTTCAAAGTGGATTTTGTTTGCAGCAGGAAAACAGCTGTGTCTCCCTTATTTGTGCCATATCATTCATATGATCCACCAGTCTTATTGCTGATTCCAAGCTGTCCCAGTTTGTGATTGTAGAAGAGTTTATAGTCCAGTTAGAAATAAATAATATAGGTAAACATAATTTGATGCAAAAAGAAACTATAAATTACATCTATCTAGATTTTTTATTCAAATATCTCAAAGCATTGTAAACTTTAGATAAGGTTCACAATTACTGAGAGGTATATCCAGCGATTAATAGATTTTTAAGGCTAGTGGCAACAATTATGATAATCTTCTATAACACAAGCCATATTTTTTAATGTTGTGTTCTTGCATCAATCCAATAACTTTAGGTTTTATGAATATTGTATAATTGTTGTGTTTGAGGAATGTGAAATATAAATTAATCATAGCTTGTTTAAGGTCATATACTATGTCAGAAAAGCTGGGAAGTCCTATTTGATTTTGCTAGAGTTTTGGAAAAACAGTTAATTTGAGGAGAAAGAAAACAGAGACTGGAGAATCAGAAGTATAGTTAAAAGAGTAAATGCTACAGCTATGCACTCCTTTTTATACAGAATGTTAACTGCAAATGTGTTGGTAGGTCTTTTTCAGTTAACGCTGACTATAATTGTGCTTGCAATCACAATAATTATCTTTCTTTAAGCAGTTTCATTCAGCAGCTAAATGAAATTATATTTAGTCAACTGAATAATTACATTGTTTAAATAGCCCATGCATCAAATCACATTGAAATGCCCTTTCCATAAGTAATTGTGGTTCAATTATATGATTTACTGGTGCTAACAAAATAAATTTCTGTAATTAAGTTTCCAGCAAGCAAATGTTATTGTTCTTGAAAAGGAATGCAATCTTGTCTCCTACATGTCTGTTAAGTTTTTTGGTGTCTGATGAATGGTTATAACCTTTTCTTGTAAAGCATCTAAAAAGGGAGGTGTGGCTGGGATCACAGAGTGCTTCTGTTAAAAGGCCATGACTTGGACAGGACCTCACACTGCTAGAACCCCTTATTCACACTAACATTGGAAGAGAATCAAAACTGTTCATTAAGGAACCAGTAGAGAGTTATATAGAAGTATTAAATTTAAGAATTAAAGGAAAAAAAATGAGAAATGGTGAAGTCTTCTGCCAGTCACAATTTTAAATCAAATACTTGCTCTTTTACACTATTAAGAGAATACAGACTCCTCTGATAGGGTTCTGAAAAGAAAGCTTTTCTTCCATTAGGTAATGGGGAGTGAACAACCTTTTACTTAGACCTGCCAAGAACAGGTTCCTTCACTAATCCCAAAAGTTTCCAGAGTCTTTTGGCAAATTTACCACCATCCACAGTTATGGTTTGCAAGAGCCGTGGTTACTCTCTAGCTCAGAATAAATCCAGACCTACCTGTCTGGATTTCAAAGAAAAAAATGTATCTTTGAATGAGTACTCATTTCTGTCTGTATAGCCCAACTACACTGACAGTCATCATTTCCTGGCATAAATGGGTGTTAGGCATGTTGTTGCTGAATCCAAAATTCTAGAAAATACTTGCTCATTGGTAGTAAAGTATGAAACATGGAGAGAGAAGCAGAGGTTGTTCAAAGGATAGGCTAAGCTTTTGATGTAGGAAAAGGGTCACAGAGACAATCTCAGTCTGTGTTGGCTGTTTGAATGCCTGTGTTTCTTTTAGTAAACACAACAGAATAAATCTGTAAAAATGAGTTTTAGAAACTTGCAGTCTCTTCATGTTTTTACACAAAGTAGGTAAAATAGTGACTATGTATTACACAATGCTATTATACAGAAGCAGCACAAAACTAATTGCAGTTGGTTTATGCAAAATAGTAGCCACAATAGACCTCTATTGCTGAAACAGGCAAAGGCAGATGGTTTGATACCTTTGTTCAGTGAAGAACTTTAAGCATGCAGATGTATAATGGCTTTCTTTAGCAACAGTTACCATTTTAGGATTCTGTTTGGAGTATGACTGGTAAAGAATTCAGCTGTTCAAATCAGAGATCTATTATTTTACTGGAAAGTGCACCTTGACCCAGTTTTATTGATGTTACTATCTAAGTCAGTTATAAATCAATTTGCTTTTAACAAGATATTGTATACATTATGCAAACATCTATTCTATATATTACAGAAGAGTAAAGTGGAATGACTGTAGACTGCATTTTCCTATACTCTTACCTGATTAACTGTTTTGTTGATGATTACAGACCTGTAAAGGAATTTTCTGTCCCTAAAGGGGTGAATGCCTTCATATATTGTGGAAAAGCAAAAGTCATTGTCACTGGAGGTTAGTATTGGGCTTACATTATGTATGAAGAGAGTAGGTTATCCAAGAGATCATTTTGTTGTGATTCTTTTCCCAATTCAATAAGATGAAATAAAAGCTGTATTAGTATCTTATGCATTTAAATAGAGGCTTCTGTCTTAAATGGCAGGAAACAGATTCTCTTGCTTATAATTGCTGGGATCAATGCTCTGAAGAGATAGATATTCCAATAGAAATCTAACAAGGACTCAGTCTGTGTTTGATTCAAGAGTCTTGTCATTTATTTAATAGAATAGGAAAAAGAGTAGGATGAACTACTCTAACTCACCTTTCCAACCCACAGTGGTAACTGTCTTGGTGAGGTTTTAGAGATTACTCCATCAGCATGGGCCCCATCCCTTCCTATTATTCTTTGGCCTTCTTTCTTGTCATAAGCAGTCACACTGGCTCACCTTAATAATTTTTGTTGCTCTTCTCTCTGATCATGTTTCTAAAAAGCTTTACTGTTCTTTCTTTCTCCCAGTGCAGACTGCAGAAATAGCACTCTCACATCCGTTTCTTCCTGTTATCTAATAAGTTTATGAGCTTCTATTGAAATGGTCATATTTCATGCTGCAGAAATGTGGCTGGAGCATGGCAGCAGTCTTGTTTGTGTATTCTGTCTGATGTGGTGGTGCCTTGAAGTGACTACATTGATGCTTCTGATCTCAAAGTCTTCAGTACCACAGTCCTGCTTGAAACAGTTAAAAACTGTTCTGAATAAACGTATCACATAACAATTTTTGGGTGTACATTTAATAATAAGGAAACAAACAAACAAAAAAAATGGCCAAGATCACAGAATCATCAAGTTTGGAAAAGACCTTGAAGATCATCTGGTCCAATCATCATTCTACTACCAATGTCACCCACTACACCATGTCCCTAAGCACTATGTCCAACATTTACTTGAACACCTACAAGGACAGTGACTCCACCACTTCCCTGGGCAACCCTTTCCAATGCCTGACAACTCATGCAAGACAGTAAAATAAATCTAGAAAAAAAAAAAAAAAAAAAAAAAAAAACACATGGGAAATAATACAACTCAAGTTTAAGTGTTAAAGTTTACCAAAGGGAAAACTGAGACAGATATCACAAACAATATCAGATGAGATGTGTATTTCAGAAGTTCTACTGATTTTCTAGACACAAATTTTAAAGGGAAAGCTATAGGAATAGCTTTAGGAATATAATAGCTATAGGAATATAGCTATAAGTGCTATAGGAAAGTTGTTAGTGAAAAAAAATGGCATTCAGCCTTCGGAGAGGTCTTATTTACATTGATTACTTTGACACAGACACAAAAAAGTAGTCTGCAGAAATTTCCTGATGCCATAAAGTAGGGAGGCACTATAAAGTGGAATATGATTAGTATTACCCGCAGGTAAGAACTGGAGGATTTTACTGTAGTAATAAAAACAGGGTGAAGACCAGGACAGAAGATCACGTACACAGGAACTAATAATACTTTATGTTACAGACTGAAAATTCTTCATATAGAAATAGCAAGGGAGGAGAAAAATCTGAATAAAATTCCTAAGAAAATTCCAGACCAAAAGTCAGCCCGGCCCACTCTACCCTCACTGACAATAACCAGCAATAGGCACCTCAGGCAGAGTAGAGGAATGGAGCAATCCTGTACCTTGCCTAGGTACTTGGGTACCACAGTATAGTGGCAGTAGAAGAAAGAAATATCTTTAATCTAAAATGGAGCTTGAAATTTTTGAAAAGGATAGATAACATACATGACTGTGAGAGTTAGAGACTAGGCTTGGATTGTAGGACTTCTAAACTGCTCTCTAAACAGCTACCTAATGAGAAAATATTATAAGGAGATGAGCTTTCTCACCAATACATTTTAATTTGTCTTGAGTTTCACTGCACAAAAGTACAGAGTATGGACTACATGACAAAAGATTAATAATACTGTGTTCAAGAATGATTCTGCAGTGATGACTTTGAAAAACTGTAAGAATTGTGCTTGCCAGTAACAATCTTCAAGTTTTTTCCTGGTTTATAACATTTACATATCCTTGATTTGGAAAGGATTCCAAATCTAGCTTGTTCACCCATTGACCTTCATCTTGATGTTGGAAGGCTTTCTTCTGCCTCACCCTCATTCCCAGTGCTTAGCCTGCTGCTTTTCCTTGAAAGGAAATTATTCCTGATCTGGATTACTAATAGTCACAGGAGAGAGTGGGAATATATGGCCAAATCCATGACAGGATGGAATCGTACCTTTCAAATTTACAGTAAATTTTAGATCATATGGGGCTACTGTGAAGCTGGACCCAAAATTAAGAATCCAGTCCTTCAGCCTTTGAGAGATCCATCTACTGAGCTCTTTGGAAGCTGAGCTTTATAATTCAGTTCTCAATTAATAAAATATACTATTCCAATGGCTCAGCAGTCAGCTGGACTAGGGCACACTAATTTTGTCTCTCTATATAAAAAAACATTACTCTTTCTTATCTGGCTGAGAAACACGTGAGACTCAGTTAATTAAATGAACAGATTCAAATGAACATACGCACCTGATGTAGTAAAATCTTGTTGACTAGAAAGCCTATAATTTTACCTGTAATTTACCCTAACAATCAATGGCCAGGGAAGGTAAATAATTCAATAATCATCATATGTAGATTTATTCATGATGTGTAAACATTTGTAAAAAATCATATCAGCATATCGTATCATATTCAGCAATAAAAAGACAAAAAAATGTGAGAAAAAAAAAAAACAGCCTTTGATTGTAAGATAGCTTTTTAAGTAATTAGTGAGGATAATTTGTTAATGACTTTACTGAGCTTCGATCTACTGTTATTTCGCACAAATGGTTTGCAAAATACTAGAACCTACAATGTATTTTTACACTGGGAAGTGGCTATTTAAAGACATATGTTTTAACACCCCTACTCTTCTATTATATATTTAGTTACATTTGAATACTCTCATGAGTTTCTGTTAGCACAGTGATGCAACCTAGTTTTATCTTCCAGGCATTTGACATTTATAAGAAGAAAGATACAAGCAAACTTGGTACATAGTTCACTTTTCATGCTAAAAGCTAGACTTCTTTAACCAGTAAAATGATACAAGCCCATTAGTGGCCTGAAAGATGGATCCCACAGTAGCTCAGAGTAACTTTTCTGTGTAACATTTTGCATTATTATGCTGAATGTTAAAGTGATATGGTTTTCCTCTTACTCAGGATCTATTTCAATTCTAACTATGTCTTAGTCATAACCTCAGGGAATAGCTACTCTTAAAAGCAAATCATATATGCATATAAAAGCTGAAGAAGATCCGTTTTAAGTTATATGATACATCAACTTCTAACCTTATTAGTTTTTCAAATCCAGCTACTCTTCTCTTGTGAACAATAAAGTAGAATCAAAACTATTGGTTATTTCTAAATCTAGCAGTAGCAGCTTAAGACTGATTAAAAGGAAGTCTCCCATCCTTGTTCAATAGTCTTTTTGCATTCCTGGCAGAACTGAAGTAACTGGTAACATCTTGTATCTTGATTTTTTTTTTTTCTAAAGGGACTATGCATTGGTATTGACATTTTCAGGAATTCTTGGGATCATAGTTATAGAAATGATATCCCAGAACTCCCAAAATACTGGCCGTCACAAGTATAGGAGAGCATTTTCTGTGATGCAGTCTAATTTTAAGAACATATGAAGATGGACAAGGCAGCACAAAGGGAAAAGAGAGAGACTTTGGTTAATATGATCAACATATAAACTTGTCTTAATTTACTTGTTGCCTAAGTGTTGTGAGGAGATTTTTCAGACATCATAGCTTAGGATTGTAGGCTTTTAAAAGGCTGGCTTGAGAAAATGACAATGAAGTTGCTTTAAAAAATAGGAGGCCTTTGTGTGGGACAGGATAGAAAGAAATTTCTGGAAAGAAACCAGAAATTATATTTTACGTTTCTAGTTTTTTAGTGGAGAACAAGCTAAGCCTAGTGTTTGTTCAAAAATGCTATTGTTCTCTATAGAGTTTCAACACCACTGAAATGCAGACAACTCATTGGAATACCAATGACATCTTATACCAAAGACATCTTGGAATACCACATAAACTGCAAACCTGTATAAGCAAGGGAGACAGTTTGATAAAGGATAACACTTGATAAGGTCTTGGAATCCATAACATCTAGCTAGAGTAGAACTGTGGTCACAGAATCTGAAATAAAAATATAAAAATAAAAATAATAATTAAAAAAAAAAACATAGACACATTTTCATATTTATTTATCTTGGAAGAGAAAACACTGAAGTGATCCCATTATGATTCAAATATTTGATTTCAAAGAATCTTAACTTCTTTTTTCTGATATTTAGAGAGATTCAAGCTTTTCTTGAATGTGTTTTGTACCCATGCCTTCTGTGTCCAGATTCTGAATCCCGGAGGCATATTTGGATCACAGAAGAGAATAGATGTTCCAGCAAATGTTCCAGTGAAGCAGTGAATGTCTGCCCTAACTGTCGTTAGGGCAGAATGAGCACATAGCTTTGCAGTAACAGGGCCAGTCTGGCATTAGTCCAGAAAAAGGAGAGAGAACGCATCTACTGCAACTACTTCTACCATTATTTCAACATCAGTAAAATGAACTAAAACTAATCCACTATTTCACATAGGAAGAAAACTGTATTGTTAATGTAGGGAAAGGTTTTCTTTCTGAATGAGACTTTTTTTCCTGTTAATATCTTGAATAAATAACAAGTGTTAGTGATTCTATTGTTAAAAGAAACTCTCTGTACCATAATTAAGGGTCACTTAATTGAGTGCCTGCTCTCTGTTCATCTGCCATCACCTCAGGAACACAGAGAACAGAGCACAGCTCCCCTATCTTATGCAGAAGTTACGCCCTCATTGCACCGCTGCAGCTGTTTGCATGGTCTCTTTCTCAGGCATACCTTTGAAATGATCTGGCATATAACAAAATTATTTTTTGTTGTAGCTATTCTAAGAGTAGATCATTTTTCCAATGTCATTCAGAGAGAGGCTACCTAAACCGTGGAATCAATTTAACCAAGAGGGCCATAAAGCTTAATGCAAGAAAAGGGAGATGGGGTGCTCCTAAAAGAATCACATATTGCTGTAATAAGAAGAAAAGGAATATATCTCTGTGGAGAGAGGTTGAGGGACTGACCAATGACAAGAGGTTGAAAGAGCTTCAGGAAGATACTTGGAAAGCATACTGAAAGAGATGACCTTTAACTTTCCTATTTGTAAACAGAACTAAGCCAAGTATCACAGTCTGGAGGTTGGGTTAATCTTTCAGTCCATGTACTTGCTCCTGTATGCTTTTTTTGGCTTTCTGCATGTCACTTTAAGATAAGAGAAAATTAAAACTGAAATTGTAATCTAGATAAAATGTGATTGGTTCATTTATTGTATATTAAAATAGGCTGTTCAGCTAATTTCATATAGTGCATACAATTGCAATATTTGCCAGGAACCGAAAGTAAAAATATAAACAAATTAGCATCAAATTTAAACTGGGATCATGTCCTCTTCAAGCTCCTGAAAAAAAATATGATTTTTTTTCAATGTCTACAATTGAGTTTGCATTAGTATGTAAACCCAGGAGCTTGCTAATATGTTTTTAACAACTTCCTTGTGTTTTGAAATGTTTATGGAAACTCTTATGAAAACAGTACCAAAAGATTTATCTATAATGCAATCAGGGATGATACCTTAATTGCAGGTAATTTTAATGTATGAATGTACAAATAAAATGAAAAAACAAAAACAACAACAACAAAAAAACTTAATTCTCTTTTACAGTAAGAAAAAAAAATCACTTAGCTGTTTTTATTTCCCATTTGCCCTCAACTTTCATGTCTGCTCCTCTTCCTGTTATGCAGGATCATCCCTTTCCATAGAGGTAGTCATCCCTTCACTACTGGGTTAAATGGACATAATTATTGTTTTGTTCTTTTTCTCAATCAGATCTTTGAAAGAAAACAAACAAACAAACAAACAAACAACAAAAAAAAACAATTCAAATTCCAATTCAATTTTTAAATTAGTATTCTACTTTTATGGCACTACCACATGGGCACCTGACATTCCTCTAAGAAAATAAAAGCCTTTGAAATGCTAATTAGTTATGTGATTTTAATGCAAGTATGGGGACAAATACTGAAAACATATCAAAACATAAGCTGGAATCCAGCTCTTAGAAGGAAAAGTTAGCACCCTTATGTGGGAGTTCCCTACATAGGGAAACCAGAAACTTATGAATATTAATATCTCCATTAAGAAACTCACAGTGTTTGTGACTATTCAGTCTTTCTGAATATATGAATTCTTTTCTGTCAGGTCATGACAAATTCCTTCATTTGTGGCATCCTTGTATTAATAGCAGACCTACAGGGAAGCTGTCAGGACACCGACACAGTGTTTTGGAATTGTGACAAATGAAAAACATCAGTATGTTATCAGCCTTTCTTCTGCAAAGGTAAAATTGTTTCCTTAACTTCATGGAAATCAATGTTATAAACGCAAGTCGTAATGTGTTTTTGAGTAAGTATCTCTGGTAGCATCTAGTCCAAATTTCATTGCCTGTCAGTTAATTTATTTTAATTTAAAGGCAGAGTTTTAGCTTAATATTTCCAAATTATTTTATATTGAGGAACAAGACTAAAATAGAAGTATTTGACCTTTCTGTATGTGCAAAAATAGTATTTATGATAGTAGATATTAATGTTCTGATATACTCTGTATCACTTTGGCAGCTGACAGAATTATAACATAACTGCTATCTGAATGCTTCATTCAGTCATGATCATCTGCAACAACTTTCTACAGCTTCATTTACCCCTCTCTGCCTGTCAGCCTGCTAAATCTGTAGGTGGATGTTTTCTTACATTGGTCTCTCCATACAATGTGTTCAGATCTCAGCCTCTTTCTGAATGGTGTCTGAATTAGAAGACACTGCTCCAAAATATTGTTCAAGACAAAAATACAAATAGCATCAATAGTAAAATTTCTTTAGCCATATACTATAAGACTTGGCTGGAAATTGGTGGGTTTCATTTAAATTATTGGTGGAATCATGGCGTCAATGCTTTATCTTATTTTGTCAAGTTAAGACTGTCCAGGAGAAAATAAAAACATCTAAAAACTTGTGCAAAAATAAATGAAAAGCTACTGAAGTGGTAGTTGTTCCATAAAAGGCTATGGAGCTCTTTCAAATATAGTCCTATGCAATATTTTCAATATTCTGTAATATTCAATATTTTCATTAACATCTGCAGTAATGGAATAGCGAGTATGGATGCTAAATTAACCAATTGCCTCAGGTTGAATAAGGGCTGCAAGTCACGGGCAGAAATATGAGTACTGAATGGGTATTAAAATTGAAGGTATGATCTGTGGCAAAAGTCAGTTGTGTCCTATAAAGTAATAAGGACCAAATATAGGTAGTCAACTGAGATATCCAGCTTTTTGATGTGTTATGTAGGAAATATTACAAATCTCTCTGTATAGAGTGTCCATGCTGCTCCTCTGCCACAATCGCTTACCATTGCTCATTGAGGTGGGGTAAATACCGTGTTTTCACATCTTTAATCCTATTCTTAAAATAAACTATACTCTTCTGAATGTGCTATAGGCTTAAATTAAGTAATCAGAAATATGTCATTTTCAAATAATCCTTGAGCCATAGCCATTCCTCCTTCCTTTCCTCACTTCTATAGATCTATACTTGTCTTTTCTGTAGGTAACTGTACATTTGCTGCAGGCATGCACCACTGCTGAACTAAAAAAGGTTTTGACAGATAGCCTGCAAGCTATGCATGTAGGAAAAATATAATAAGACATAAAACAAGACTTAAGGGGAATGAATGTACGTGAAGATATCTATACAGAAAAAAAAAAAAAAAAAAAAAAAAAAGGAATGAAGTACCTCAGGTAGTACATAACTAGGAGATCTCTTGACATACTTTTGAGGTACTTTCTGGGCCTTTCTATGATTCAATACAACTTTGGAGAGAAACCAAATCTATTTTACAAGACTCTAAGTATGTGGACTTTTATACCTGATCTTAATTAAACGTACTTGAGTTGTGTCAATGACATCAGTAAAATCATTTGTACATGAATTTGTGAAAGTATATTCTAATTAAAAATTAACTTTGTGTCTTTAAATTGTGCTGTGAGTTATAAGTTACACTTCTCCTCAGAAGTAAAAAGAAATAAAGAGAAATTCCTATACTTTTAAAAGGCAGATAAATCTTGTGGTCGTATTTGAAAGCTATATCAAAAAAGAAGAAATCCTTCACAGAGAAGTCTAAAGGACTTTACAGATAAAGTCATGATCACTCTGTGTCAATAAAATAAATAAATATTACAATATATAGATGATTTACATGGTTAAATCTTTGCATTAGGGGTCAGGTAGCTCTCTTGTCAGCACACTGAGCAGGCAATAAAGAGACAAAAATGCAGAGCCTTTACACAGTCTCAGCCATTATATAGCACCCAGTAAATTGCCTGCAGGCTCATTAGTTTACAATTAGACTCACTGTTCCATATTACCCACTTTAAATTCTTTCCATTATTCCACCATAATTTGGAAAAGGAAGTAACCTTATATATTACCAGTCTTGTGGTTATAATAATATGCTTAGAGCTAAATCCTCCTTCCCTTAGCCTCACATGTAATCCCATTGACATCAGTTTGCTCCTAAGTCTTCTAATAACTACAGGGAGTTGTAGTACTTTGCAGGATCACCTTCAGGGATCATAGGAAACACAGCTGCACTCTCTGCAGGTAACTCACTCATTTTAAATAACACGGCAACAGAACTGCAGTTTGGCCTCTGCTTCATGCCTGGTGATTTTTGTCTTTGAGGGCTCAGACTTTCTGTGTGAATTTGTAACTTTGTCACTTCAGCCTTCCACAACAGCCTCCTCATGATAACCCAGCAAGACATTGTTCCTGAGCCTGAACTTTATCGTACGAAGAGTATGTAAAATATTTATTTAACAATTTTGTCTTATTTCCCAACTTTTTTCTGACTCCATCTTCTGTTACCATTTCAGTTGGTAAGATCATAGAATCATAGAATCATAGAATCATAGAATCATAGAACATCTTGTGTTGGAAGGAACCTTAAAAATCAACCAATTTCAACCCCCCCTGCCATAGGCAGGGATGCCACCCATTACATAGGGTTGGCCAAGGCTTCATCCAGCCTGGTCTTGAACACCTCCAGGGGTGGGGCATCCACAACTTCTCTTGGCTACCTTTTCCAGTGCCTCACTACCCTCTGAGTGAAGAACTTCCTCCTAATGTCTAGTCTAAATCTCTCCTCTTTATAAGATGAATCTTCTGCTTTGTGTGTATGTGTGTGTGTTAAGAAAAATAGAAGAGAAAGGTGTTGCTGTTCTTTATATGCTCTCAAAACATAGACTTTAGACCAGATGGAAAAGATAGTTCAGGCTTTTTAGTGTGTTCTGAGATTTGGGGATTGACAAAGTAGTACTTGAGAGAAAAGTGTTTATGTATGCAAATATACACATTTAAAAATGTTAAGGGGTGTCAGAAAGCTTTGGCAAGAACTCACTTTGAATTCTGGAGGGATTCGGTTCCCAATTTTGCTCTGTGTCTGTGAAAAAACCATCTGTAGCTATGGGGTTTTGTCATTAGGTTGAGAGATGAATGATACAAGAAGAACACCTGAGAAAAGAGGGGAGTGATCCAGGCTGCAGTCCTGGAAGAATGGCAGACTAGCTTGTTAAAGCTGTTGCAGCACATATAGGAGAGAAAGACAACGTGCATTCCTGGAATGCCGCTCTGTGCTTACTACCTACTGTGTGAAGGAAGCTGGCCCCAATGAGGGAACACAGGCAAAAAACCCTGCATCCCAAACAACACAACATCCATATTCAAAAGGTATGCCTGTGGGTCAATGCCAATTCTCCTAATATGCAAATTGAACCAACAAGTTTTTTCATTAATATAAGAGCATTGTAGACACAGCTCAGCTTTTCCTCTAATGTGGAAACAGTGGGAAAAAGAAAAGTCATTTTCAAAAGCATTTGATGCTCCACCTCCTCTCTATTGTGTTTTGTTTGCAAGTCTGTGTGTGATTTCAGAAGACATAGTCAAGCATTTTGCCATAAAGAGTGTGTTTTCACAGGGCTTCAGTGATTTCCTGGCGTTTGTCATGTCGATGTGGAAATTTTTATAAATCTTTAATAAATACACAGAACAGCGGTGTTTTAACAAAACGTTCCTAAGGCAACTCCCCCAGTCACCTCCTGGTTTCAAACTAAGCATGCCTTTCATTTCCACTCCTTGCACATGTATTCATGCAGTTATGTGTGCTGATACAGATGAACAGCAGTGACACTATATCTCACGGCCATGCTGGTGATGCCTTGTGTTAAAATTACTCATGTGAAACAGTGGCTTATATAATGTCCCCATCCTGTGCCCCTTGGCTGGAAAAGGAAGAAGGCCTGAAGGAAGGGAAGAGATTTGTGAATGCTGTGAGGGACCCAGGTTTTTGCTTCAAGTGACCACGCATTCTTAATGTGGTATTGGCATTAGTGGCTAAACAAAGGGCAAGAAAGGGCACAAGAGGCTCTGATATTTACTTGTGCTGTAAAATAATTTTCTCATTGCTTTGATGAAATAAGACATCAAGTTTATGTCTTGATCGTTGTTTACTTGAAAAAGCCATGTGATTGTTAAAATTGTGTGTCTTCAATGTTTTTTTCTAGTTCTACTTTGTAATGGATCTGGATGATGTCTCTGGAAAGGTTATTATGTCTTTGTTCAGTGACTTATTCTTTTCTCCTGAGTGGAGTATCTCTATAGATACGTACTTGTGATAAATCTTCAGTTCTTAAAGCTATTTTTTTACCTTCTAATTGTGACCGTGCCAGAAATGATCTTTGAGATCTACCCTTACTTTCTCAACTTTTTATTTTTTCTCTTTCTATTTCTGCTGGTCTACTTATTTTAGACAGATAAACAGTTTCTTCATTTTTCTGTTCAACTGGGTTTCCTGGTTTTCAGAGGCATTCTCACTACCTATTTTTCCATGAAGCTATTCCTTTTGTAAGCTTCAGAGAATATCTGAATACATTTCTGAAATGTGGTCAAAAATCTAGTAGAGGAATTTGATTGGCATGGTTCTTCTGAAGCAATATGGTCTCAGAGAAAAATTAATCTCAGAAGCTCTTTAGAGCCTTTTCCTTTTGCATTTTCCATGCAACAAACAATATAATTGGGAGAAATTTTCTTTCTACTTAAAATTCAGAAACATTCATGTTTGAATTTCTCTCTGTTGCCAGAACTGATCTATTTAAACACTGGTGTATCTGTTTGTTTTTTTTCCCTTCTATTGCAAAGTTTTGCTGGATCTTCTGTAACCTTCTTTAAAATTAGGTTATGGATGGAAATTTTAATAATCTCTAAAGCTTTGTATTTATCTCCTTTCTTGACATTGCATAACCCTTTCCATCCATTACTCTTTCCCTTATTTTTATTTTACAAACAGCAAACGGTCTTCCATTTTGTTTCTTTAGCAGCTTTTTTTTTTTTTTTTTCTATGCTGAGAGGCTATTTTAAGTGAAAAGAGAGATACTTCAACATTTTACAACATAGAAAGTAATGAACTTTCATTCTTATTTGTACAGTGTATGTCTTCTGAAAAAATAATTGCTGGGAATTGCATTGAACTTTTCATAACATTAATGTAAGCACACGTGAAGTCTTCTTAATTATCAAAAACGTATTTAAGGAGAGGGCATACTGCCTGTGGATTATAATAGACACATACTATGTTCAAGAGAAAAATAAACAGAATTCTAAATGAAGAAGGGAATAGGATATAATGAGGAAAGCTGAAAAAGTCTAAACTTGTGGTTTATGTTTCAGATCGTAACTTGCTGTGTGTCTTTGGGAAACACTTTCTCTGCTTATAGTTGTAAAATGATATATTTTTTTCATTAATTAATTATATCAAAAAAAAAACATGGAAATGTTTAAGATTTTATGTGATCAGAAAGACAGATATAAGTGGTATTCTGCAGACATCCCTAATGTTTCCAAAATTTATCTGATCCCAAATTTGCAAAGTATTTATTTCTTAAGGATTTATTTCTTTTGTTTTCAAATGTCTTTGTATTACATAGGGATTTACATTTTGAAACTTTTTTTTTTTTCAATTTTCAGCAATGAAAGCTGTTTTTGATTGTAGCCGGTTTGTTATTAGGTTGACAGATGTCGTGTTCTTGTTTCTTCCTCAGAGTTCTTCCTGACAGATTTCTATGTTGGTATTAGGAAATATGAGCTAAAAGCAATTACTTTGCAAATCAATACAACTTTAACAATAATTTAATACCATCTCTTCTACAAGTTACCAACATTTCTAGGTCAGCAGCACCCTTACAGTGGTCAATTTAAATTATACATCAAATAGTGTTTCTTGGCATTTCTGTTATGAGACTGGCTGTAAGTCATTTCCTGTTAATGGCATAACTTCTTAATGACCTCGGTAAGTACCTTATGCCATTAAAACATTTATGAAATTTTATGAAAGTGATGAACAGGATTCTATATTCTTTTTTTCTGTCTAATCTCTTTCATTTTTTTTCTAAGGTGCCAGCTGTTGTACTATCTAATATATCAATCAGAAATAAAACAAGTCATTTCAAAATAAACTTCCAGTCTCACTGTCCAGTGACTGGTGCTCTAATTACACTTGCATCTATTCTTGTTGGGTTATGGCCTGATCAGGACAGTTTCATGAGGCTTACTGGACTTTCTACACAGTAGGCAAGCTAGTGTAGCAACAAGGCTGCTTTTAGCTGTGGGTAAATTAAGTAGGTTCTCAGGAATAAAAATGCAAGAATCTGCACCCAACATGCAGATAAGTTTGGATTTGTAACTACCTTTACCGTAATGTTTTTCACCATATAGCAGATTCTGGAAAGAATCAAGAAATGGATGCACATTACAATCCCTTAAGATTTTTCCTAGGATTTTTTTTTTTCAACATTATCAGATCTCCAAAATTATTGCTCTTTTAGAGAAATAGCACTCCAGCCCCAGTCATGGCTCTCTGGTTGCTTCTTGTTTACTGGCCAAGGCTATGAAGTTAAAAGTTGAGTGATTGCATCAAGATCATCTAAGGAAACCCATAGAGATCTCTACTGAGTTTCAAGGCTAAGAATAAGGAACAGCCGAGAGAAGAAAATATCCAAGGATTGTAGTCCAGGAAGCTGAATTATTCGTGTGATATTTCTTTCTGCCTGAGATGCAGTTTAGTTATCAAATTCAGCTGAATATTTCATGGGTTTGTGCTTGTGTGTTTTACGGGCTAACATTCTATGGAGCATTTCATCCAAAGATTCAAAGACCTTTGTCAAAGTCCGCAACACTCCAAGTATTGATGGGAACATTTGTGTTAAAAACCCCAATTTGAAATGCAACACTACCTTTTAATAACACATGAATATAAATACCTTGCACAAATGCCTACATAAAACTACAGTTTTGTCAGCTGAATGAGAATTACATGCAGAGGTGGTGACAAAATAACTTTTGATAACGTGGTAAGTCTACCTTGCTGGGAAATACACTACACTAAAAACCATGGGGTCTGAGAACCTACATCGTGATTTCTTGCAGAATTAATAGCAGTTTGCATGGGATAGCAACAAGTACAACATGGGTTTGATCAGGCAGGATGAATGAATGTTGCCAACATATTACTAACTAGTAATTCTAGAGTCTAAAGCAAATGCCGTGTTGTCTGTTAAAACTGAAAGAACTATATACGGGTATAAGAAAGAACTGTATCTTGTATATCTACCGTTCCTTAGAGGTTGGTAATGTGATTGTGGGAAGTCCTTCCAACATCTGCTGTCAGTCAAAGATTTCAGGAATTCCTGATGTGGAACCCTCTGAAATTTATCTTTGTATTATTTGACAAAATTTGTTAGTCCAGTCCAGAATACAAGCTTTTAAACTATCGGCATTTGTCTGTACTTGACTGAAAAGCATGACACAATGGAGTCATTTTGTTATTAAGGAGTAGAATTGATTCTCAGGAGATCTGGTTCTCCTGTGGACTTCTCAGGTCAATATTTCAAGACTCAGCCTTTCTATGCCATTTAATTAAAATGACAATAAAAATGTCTTCAGTGTTTGTCTTGCTTATTTGAGGATGTAACAATTAACAACATGATTTGCGTTAGAGGGTATATTATTTTTGTCATGCAAAAAGAGTAGTTGAAAATCCAATCATGATACAGTATTAGGTTTTCTCCCCCACTCCTCTCTAGCTTTTTTGCGTGTGGAATATACAGACCCTTTCAATGCTTCAGGTCTTTCATGATAATCAAGGGATTCCTGCAGAGTTGGAGACTCTTATCATGGTATTTAACAATGATAGTGGCACACTGATTGCAGGTATGCTACTGTAATTAAAGTGTGAGAGCATCCCCCTTCTAGAATGTGGTTTCCCTTATGATTGCATACTACTGAAGTTGAATGCAGGAATAAATTATATGAGATGTATAGAATACTGTGCATTCAGCGTATTTGCACATTAAGACCATCTTGAAGTATGTCTTGCTATATGTTGTGCTAATTTCAATATGGAAATATTTATGAAAATATCCAGCATGGGAATTAACAACAGGAACCAGAGGAAATGAGGAAGGCTTCTCTGAAAGCAAGGTGAAGCTTTTTTAGAAAAGTTAAGCTACATGTAATTTCTGGACTCCATAGCAAGGAGCCTGGAACCTCTGAAGGCCCAGAGATCTGCAGGTGTCCCTAAGGACTGTAGACTTCTTTATTTAGGGCAGAGAACCTAGAAACCAGCAGCTTTGTCTGTCCCAGAAACATGGTCTCTGAAATACTGGAGTCCTCAGCTTTGAACCTGTCCTGGGGCTATAGACATCTGAGGATTATCAGGGAAATAAGGTCATTGTCTTTGGAGACAGCTTTTTCTGTCCTTGCAATAAGAACAAGGCACAAAGCTTGTCAAATCTGAAATGAATATGAAATTTCTTATTTTCAGTGACTCGGCAGTTTCTGCTGAATATTTGTGTCAATATACCTGTTTTAGAAGCCTAAATATATACATTGGATGAGAGTTTACAAATGGGTGCATGTATTTTGGAATTGGCTAAGCATTGCAAAGCTTAAGAAACTTTATCTTCTAGGTCTTATTTAAAAAATGCTCCAAATACTAATCAGAATACTTTTTAAAGATATTTCATTACTAAAAGGTACAGAGGGGATCTTCAGTTCAAATTTAAGTTAGTGAGATTTTCAAGGTTTAGTAATCTAGTGATTTTACATAGCTAAGTCCTTGTGAAAATGAGATGGCTTTGCCCTTATAAACAATGATTGGAGCAGTGCCTAAATATCTGTAAAAATCTGGCCCTGGATTCTGTTAATGATTCCATTAAAAGGTTAAGTAAATGTTCCCTTGCTCCTGAACAGGGCAAGAGACTGAGGTTATATGTGAGCAAATTAATCCTTATTGCTATGTACCTGACTTTACAGAGATTTTCAGTTATTGGTTCACTAACATCAATAAATCATGGCTCACCTTCATGCTTCATTGAATATTGCCACAGCTTTCCTTCTGTGCCCATTTCCAAGCTGTTGGACTGTGTGCCTGGGCTCATGCCAAGTATTAGGCAATTCTGCTCTTTCCTGCATGCTCACTGCTGACTGCTGCTCCTCTGCTGGTAGAAGAGCAATTCAGGAATTGAAATTAGAGGCTGGATTGTGAGCCTGCCTTGTAAAAACCTTGCCCTTTCCTTTGTCTTGTCTTCCCCATCTGCCTTTCTGTTTATGCAGCTCTTCAGATCAGAGGGCACTGGAATGTGCAATGCCGTTCAGACCTGCAGTGCTGTATAAAGAAAGTGCTGGAAAGACCTCATTGGCTGCAGCTAGAATTGTCTTATCTCTAAGACAGTGGTTACCAGAATTTATTTTAGTGATATACTTGTCAGTTCATATTTCATTTATTTGGGTTCCATTCCAACCCACTGTGGTCCAGGGGGATTTACCACTCTTAATGATCTTGGATTCAGGGTATCAATCCCATAAAAGGTAGGAAGGTGGTTGTTTAAGGCAGGGAGATACTTAGCTGTTGCTTAACTGATGTCTTGTGGGGAGCATGGGTAAATGTTTTCTCTTTTCAGGAAACAGACAAGACTTTCTTCTAAAGAAACAGACAAGATTCCTTATGCCCTTCAGAAGAACACCATGTCCTAAATGAAACCTTTCTATAAAGTATATATTCTCACTTGTCTCACCATATGCAGGTTCAACTGTCATCGATATTTATCCCCTAACTCACATGATACAAGATATGAAACAGGTTCCACAGACACATGAGAAAAGCATCAGTGTTCTGGCTTACAACAGGACTTTTCACCAAGTCCTCACTATCTGCTCTCAGTCAATACTGAAGGTGAGTGTAAGTTGTCATCTGAAATAGTCTTGGCTACCAACTGAAATAGTCTCAGGTTGTTGTTTATTTTGTTTGTTTGTTTATTAAAAATAATTGATCGGGCACTTAGATGAGTGATTAGTGTTTATTATTCAAAGTGTTTGTTTTGTGACTATTCTTATGCTCAGATTCTTTTGGGAAGTGGTAGCCATGATAAACAGGATATATTTAGTTCAACAGCATTCTTTTGTCAGAAAACTACTTTGCTGACCGCACTACAATTGCTAGGCAGATTGAGCAAGGTTTCAGAGGCTCTGGATTTAGTTAGAATTTATTTCCTTTGGCCACATTTTGATTCACCTGTTCTGTGATGGACAGTGTCAAGAGTAGTGAAAGTCCATTGGCCACTTAATATCTCTAAAGGAAAATTTAAAATGCCACGATGTCAAAATGTGCATCCAGTTCATAATTCATGCAAACATAATTACACGTTATTCAGAAGGCATATCTGATGAGCATCTCCTCAAATTTAGGAAGTGTTTGAGTCCCAGACAGCTTAGTGGGATGTAAAAGTACTTTAGACATTCTATGGATTGGTATAAAACATAAAAGAGACTTTGTAAAAACAGTACTGGGTAAAAGATACCACTCTCGGATAAAAAGATTCTTTAATTCTAAAATTGAAAAGTTCCTCTGGTACATACAATGTGGCTAAACTACAGAACCTCATTTTTTATCCTTTCATTCTCCTGTTGTTCTTGTTCTTTTTTTTTTTCTGGATCTGATTCTTTTTGACTAGCAGTTCTGGAGACAATTTTCTGAGTTCCATGGATCCTTTTTTAAAAAATTTCCTAGAACATCTTGTTCTGAGCATTCAGGATATCGAGTCATACAGTGAGGGAAAAGCATTGAATATAATAGCCAGTTAACAAGAAAAATAAAGTGAAAGAGATGTCTCTCGTTTGTTTCTTTTTATCACAGCATTATTTGTTTTGAAGCTGTAATGAAAAGATTAAATTTGTTTATTAATTTTACCATTTACGTTTGAACCTCTAAAAATAGTCACCATGCAAGTGTAAGAAAATCCATAGGCAAATATAATGAATTGTTACAGGTATGCTGAGGATCTGCAGTTTTTGTTCATTGCTGATGGGGTTAAGTGGCAAGATTTATAGGGTAAAGTAGCTTCTCTTATTGGGCCAGTTGGTGATGCATGCCATTCCTTTGCTTGTTCGTGTAAAGGTTTGTCTATATTGTACACTCAATAAAGATGTTATTTCTCATTTTAAATCCCCACCTTCTTTAGGTCATGATGGCTACAACACCAAGAACAAATTGTGTGAGGAGTTTTAAAGGGTGTACTGAAAATATATATATATTTTTTTTTAAGTCTGGGACCTAGAAACAGGATATCAAATATATCAGATTGAAGATGCACATGGGCTTAATATTGAAGTGACCTGTGCAGCCATTGAAATAAATGCTTTTTATCTTGCTACTTGGGCATGGGATGGTAAAGCAATTAAATAATTATTACCTTTTTATTATGTTTATGTAAAATGACAAATGGCATGAGTGATCAGAACTTGGCTGCTGGGGCTCTGTTACTTTGCTTGCCTATTGGTCTATGGAAGGCTATCTGCAAAGCTGTTGGTCTGAAAAGGTGTTTCCTCATAGGTCTTAGTGCCTAGATCTTCATAGCACTGTAAGTAAATGGCTCCAAATGCATGGTAGGTTTTATTTTTATTTTATTATTATTATTATTTTGTAGTGTCTAAGCTCAATTTTGTGGTAAACACCAGAATATATCTCTCTCTGTTTTTCCATTTTTTTTTAACCTTGTGTTATTTAGCATACATCAGTTATAGATGATGTGAAAAGAGCTCTCCAATATATTCACAAGTGCTACACTGAATTCTGCAACAAACCTTAATATTTTTGTGAGCTGTTCACATAACAGAATAATACTTCTCACATTCAAATATTCGTGAGTGCACACCTGAAGTATTAAAACATTAAAAATATGAAAGCTTTCTTTTCTTTCCAAAGAAAAATATGAAAGAGGAAATGCCCTTTTTCCATTCAGAATACTGACTAATGTTTATTACTTGTACTTGGCTACAGAGACTAAACCCCATTATGGATTTTAAGAGCATGACAAAAGGTGAATGCTATCAAGTCCCACACAACTGGAGCCATGTAACAGCTGCTTCACTTAAGCTAATACTCTAGCTCCTTTTTCCCACTAGTTGTGTGAGACAAGTCCAGCAACCAGCAATAGCATTTTGAAATATCTGTTCTTCCATATAGACTATTTACAGAAAGATAGGCAATTTGAGGAGAAAGATGAAAAAAACAAAAATCCCTAAGGCTGTACAGCTCCAAGAAATGTTTTCCATACTTTCTCTTCTCCTACTCATTAGGGAGTAGCAGCATTTTGTTGAAATGCCTTTGTGATTCCAGCTGCCTGGCTGCCCAGATAAGAAGCCGTATCAAGTATTTTTGAGTGTCACTAATCAATTTTGCCTAGTTCTAGCAAACACTTTAAACAGATCAGTAGTAATAATTCAAAAATACTTTTTGCTTTTTTTTTTTTTTTTTGACATTAAAATGAGGGGGGGAAAGGTGTGTTTTGAAGTGGCATGAATTGAAAACTTGTTTAATTTTCTTCAGTTCAAAGAGTACAAAGATTGATCTGGGGAAAATGCTCATTTCAACTTGAAATGTTTAGCTCTCAGATACTTGGAAGAAAGCGGAAATGAAAAGCTTAGTTTCACAGAAAAAAAAATAAAATCCTCTGTTGATAGTCCTCTTCACTCAATAAGCCCATGGTACACCTCAGTACATTGGAGACATGGACTCAATTCCTATTTCTGTCTACATGGTTTTGAACCAACAGGTCCCACAAGGGTTTTTCAAATATTATGCTACAGGATATAACACAGCACAAAAGGCAAAGGGGAATCTTTCTTGTTTCTCTTAGAGCAATTCTAGTTTGCATTGTATTCTTAACTGTGCAGGATAAGAATGATCTGTGCACCCAGGTCAAAGCTGAAATCTCTTTGTACCATAGGTAGTAAAAACAACTTCTGTTCTGGCTTTATCTCTTCCTTTTCTTTTTTTTTTTTTTTTTTTTTTAACCACCTCATGTATGAGGGGATGAGGGGGAAATCATTGTTCTGTAAATACAGTATTTTACTCACAGTTCATACATGACTGGCTTGAATGCGAGAAACAATGTACTTTTCTAACATTAATGTAGCTGGTTAACTTTGACATAAGTTATTTCACTTTTCTTTTAAACACTAATTCTCAAGAAAATAGTTGGCTGAATGAAATGTACACCATTGCACTGGGTTTCTGTTTTTCCTGTCACAGGCACATTCTTTACCTACTCTTCACTGTCATTAATGCATCATAACTGATTAACTAATTTTGAAAAACTATGTCTAAAACTTTTAGGTTACATACATTTGGGGAAATAAAATATTTAAATTTTTAGATTTTGAATAAAGTCTACAACCTTTTCTGGGAACAATACACAACCTATCTGATATATCTGGTACAAACATCTTCATTTTCAGGTGTAAAATTAATGAGAATAGCCAAGCTTCAATTCCTCAAGCATCTGGTAAATGCCGTGTTGTTCCTTGTACGTAGTGCTTCCTCTTCCAGGTAACTGCGTGCCTTGTATCTTCCACCATGACAGGTGTGCTCATTTGGAATTCTGTTGTATTAAACTGATGTAATTTTTTATCCAAGACAGTATATTTAAACTGGGTTGCTGCTCTTATGCTGTCAGAATTTGGATGGATCAAGGTTTGGTTTTTGTTTTTGCTGTTGTTGTTGGTTTTTTTTGTTGTTGTTGTTTCAAAACCAAGCAAGAGTTTGAAGCTGGTGCTGAAAATGAAGAGGATTTTCCATTCCCCATTGATTCAAATCTGTACATGAGTTCAGGAAGGCAGCATGCACTGAAAATGATTTTTTTTATTTATGGAAAAGTAACCACCCTATTACCTATTCGTCTGATACTCTCCCTTTGTCCTTTTGTGGTCGTGCCTCTGAGCATATATACTTCTCATGACTTTTGCACCCTTCTCTTTTATCTGTAGTGCTACTACTAAATTCTTGTTCCCATTATAGATTTTCCTTTTTAGAAGGTCAACTACTCTATCAGTCTCCTTGCTTGCTTGCAGATGTACAGTCCTAGAAACCAAATGTGATCAGTATGAAGGCTGGAATTACACAAAAGATTCCTGTCTAGTAGTAGAAACAAGGGAGATAACAAGCAACCACATCAGGAAACAGGGAGCTTTCTCAGGAAACTAAGCAGTAATGGGTCATAAGGAAAATGGTTCTTTGATTCTAGTTTCACATGGGTGTACTGGGAGGTTGTAAAAGATTAAGCTTTCATTATGTATGTATACCATCAAACACTATCCATTTTACCAGCATTGAAATATAGTTCAATCCCTAAAAAACTCCCTAGAAAACTGTCTGGACAAGATTAATCTTATTTTTTACTCTTGTCATTCAAGGAAAAAAACAACTTTACATTCTTTCCATTTCAAATCTATTCAAAGATACATTACTCACAAATAGTATTTGTATTTGTTTGCATATTAATAAATAGTACATTGTTTTCTACTTTGTGTGCTTGACAATGATCTGAAATCTTTTCATCATTCTGCTCAGCATTTATCAAGAGCATATGGTAGCAACAAGCCAATGTGTGGCAATAATGAAATGTATTGATGTTTTCTTTTTTTCTTTTTTAATCAGAGGGATGTATTATGTGCTGGAGCATTGTGTCATTCTTAGAAGATCCACAAAATAGTAAAAGAGTAAGGAAAAATCTGACATATTTTCTAAACCTGAACAGTATAAGAGGGTAAGACAAATAGAGAAAAATGGATTCAGACCTCTACAGGGATTAAAACTGTTTCCTGAACATAAAGGTCATGACTTTTGCTTTCCATAATAATTTGATGCTGTGAAAAACAAGAGAAAACATCACTAAAATGCTGCCAGCATTATTCTAGTGTGTTCAAAGAGGTTACGTTAAGAATTTATTTATCCCTGTCCCCTGAGCAGTTTCTACCATGTGTCATTTGCAGCCTGTTTGTTGGAGGGAATAATATTTCACCTCTTAATTTTCAGACAGCCATACTGATGAACCCAGTAAGCCAGTAACCATGGTGGCATACAGAACTGCCTGAAATGTGGTTATGTTGCTTTTTTCCCTCAGCAAATAAAGGAGTAGCTCTGCTGGAGGGCACATTCTACTGAAGTGGTTGGCTTATTTCATGAAGAGGAGAAAAACGTGGTAGTGACAGCATCTGTTGATGGTTCAGTCAGGTACAAAATGATATAATACTTCTTAATGCTATGGCCAGACAGTTTAACAGTCTCCAAAGGTCCTCTTCTTGCTAGACTTTCATATAGGCTAATAGGTGCGTTTTCTGTTCTGCACCTGCAAGAACGATTTTTTTAATGTAACACTTCCATTTTTCCCATGAAGTCATACCTTTTACAGACTGTCATTTTCTATCAACAAGGTGACCTTGAATGCATGGGTAACAGTCCCATATGACCTCCTGTTTTCAATCCATTTTAGCTTTCAGTACTTTCTAAGTTAACATGGGTCCTTAACGTTACAACATATCAAATTAAACCATTTCACTCTCAAGCCTTTTTATAGACAACTGCGTAATTCTTTCTTGGCTAGTAAGTACATTTGAAGTTTTTGTCTGTTTGTTTTGTTTTGTTTTTTAATTTTATGTCTATTGTTGGGGAGAGATCACTAAGGAATTTTTGTGTAGATCCTACTGTGGTGGCAGTACCTTACAATTAGAGCAGTTCAGGATATTGGTGCCTTTACTCCTCAATTTCTGATAAAAATGAACTGTGATTGTTTTCTGATTTTTCCAACATCCTTCTGAGATTGTTTTTTCTCTCAAGTTACTTAAATGATAAACTGATCTTTAATATCCTGTGTTTTTTTTTAATGACTTACACACTGAACACTAGTACAATGCTGCAGAACCTGATCATGTATACAAACAGGAACACTTCTTCTATGTCTATAGACTCTGGCATGCCACAAATGAATGTTATCTTGGTTACTTTGGACAGCTCAGGAAGTTTGAATTATCAGATATCAGTCAGTTGATTTTGCCTTGTGATGTTAATAGCCTTCCCATTATAATTAAAGAGGAAAGCAAGCATATGGAAAATAAAAAGAAATTTGAATATCCTCTAATGCTGGACTTGCACAAGTAAGATCTTAAACATTTATATATAAGTACGACTTGGGGAACAGTTCTGAAAATATTATACTTACAAAGCATCTTTTGACTGAAGGTCATAAAAATAATTCCTATGAGGTATTCACTATAATCCTCTTTTTTTTTTTTTTAATTAATATGGTTTTACAAATCATGAGTAAATCTCTTAGATGTTATAACTAGGTGGCTGTTAGGATTAGGTGATGGTCAGGATTTGAATTGAGTAATAGTAATAGTGATGACTATGTAATTGCTTCAGATTTTAGCTTTATTTAGAGTCTGTATGTTATGTATGTTAGCAGCCTGTTTCTCTTCTAATTGCACAAGCTGATATACTTCTGGGATCCCTAAAGCTTTATTGAAAAAGCTTAATGTGAATAGCTTCATCCCAGAAACAATCTTTCAGTTTAAAAAGTGGTCTTATTAAGTTTGCTGGGATGTTGTAGACATATTCACATACTCACATACTACAGATCATAACACTCTGATACAGGCATGTTGTATGTTCAATAGCAGTTTTAATTCTACGTAGAGTTCTCAAGGGATGTGGGTTGGCTACAAGACAAGCCAGTAATACTTGGCCCTTTAGCTAAGGCTGTAGGAGGTCAAATTTCTAGTCCTGGAGCTCCCTGTTTTATTAATCATTGGGTTAAGCAAATGCAGAAGCTACATGCACATGGTCTTTAGTGACAAGGCAATTCAAGCCTAGGAAAAAAATATTTCACAGCTTAAGAAAATCACACATGCTTTAATGTTAAGGTTTCATGTGCCGTTTACACTTTTTAGGCTGCCTTTTAACCAAAGCACTTTGGGACAATGGGAAAGCTCAAAGATCCTTTAGTGTTAGCCCATCCAGGCCAGTATCCTGGAAGCACTTATGATTACATATAGTTCTTACTAATGTGAGTAGTGCCACTGAAGTCAGAACAGTAACTCATCAGTGAAGAGAAGTTCTTGGCTGTGTTTGAAGGACTACTCCCTATAGTCCTTTTGAACAGGCAGCAACGAGGCTGAAACCTCTAGAATCAAAGATACTATAATTAAAGGCAGCTAACCTTAAAGAAACTTTGCATTAATGACATGCCTGTGTCAAACACGACTACTTTTTTAAGGACCCTTCAAATATTTCAGTAAAGGAGAACAGGTAGCATACATTTAAAACACAATAATTAGACTGGAAGCAAATGAGAAGCCTTTTTAACTGTGCAAAAAAAATGGGGAGAAAAAATAAAAAAGCAGTCACATGCTGTGGAACAGAAAGTTTCAGTCTTATCATTCTATATGATCTGTATGCTGCCACCTCAAGAGTAGCTCAATTCTCTGGATTAATTGTACCAAATAGTATAATGGACAGCTAGCCTACTTTTGCTAGCCAATACTTATCCAAGAGTCAGTGTTACTTACATGTGCTAGGCTTTGCTCTTCACAGGATACAGGCGCTTCTCTTGGGTTAAGTCAACTTATCTTCCTGATGTTAATACTGTTCCCTTATTGGATAGCTGTCATATAATTCACGAAGTTAATGTTTTAGAATTTTTAATAATAATTCACATTATAAATGTTAATAACAGATATTCCCTAAATGTGCATATATATGAAAAGGTACAAACCCAGCTGAATAGCATAGGTGCTAGTTTAAATGAGTGTCTCAGGTGACATACTGAAAAATGTCAGCAGGAAGACAGACCCATAAAGAAAAATTGTATCAGTTTCTCTCTGTAGTTTATGATTCCTTAGCTTGTGTGTTATGACATTTTTTTCTGATTATAAAATTAAACTGTGTTAATCTGCACTAATAGATATTTTAATTTAGATCATTTCTTCTTGTGATTAACTTTGGAAACCAGATATATGACCAGATGAGACTCTCTTTGTTATTACAGTGGCATAGAGGAATTGTAGTAAGAACTGAGAGAAATGATGAAAACCCATTATCAGACAATGTGTCTGCACTCAGATTTGCTAACTAGTGTTTTATATATCAATTTATCTAGCCTCCTAAAGATGACAAACCAGTGTCTGGATTGACAAAGTTTGATTGAAGCACTTTATGGCACCTTTGAAGCTCCCAATATAAATCATATTTTGATGATATGGAATAATTTACACATCAAAATAATTTTATTTTGAAGCAATTAAGAATGTCAAATTCAAAATTGCCACTTAGATAGGAGCATCTGATTTTTTTCTTTCTTCTTCTGCCTTATGTGCACAGGTGGAAATCATTGACCAGATCACCTTCAATTTCCTAAACATGTCAACATAATTCAAGACTTGAAGTTTTTCAAAGCTTTGGCTTTTCCAAAGGTATGCAATGTATATGACAGATTTGTTTCAGTTCTGTGCAATATATTATGAATTGCAACTGCATTTCTCATTTATAAAACAGCCATAAATAACCCTATATATTCTTATTCAGTGGACAAGCTAGAACAAAAAATGCAGTAACAGATCAAAAAAATTGAAAATTCTGTGGTTTTCATTCTCATTGTTTCACGCTTCCAAGTCCCGTTTATATGAAAGAACACAATGATTCACTTGCTTGGCTTAACAGCATAAAAAACAAACACAAAACAACAACAATGAAATCTAGGATTCTCACACACTCCAACAGAAATCCTAAACATCCCAGTTCTACCTGAAGGGTGTGTGAAAATGCTAGAACGACAGTGAATCACTGGTTATGTATAATTGTTCTTTCAAGGTTCCCATGAAATCAGATTCCAAGAGAATCCTGAGTCAGTTTGGATATCATTATGAACAATTTCTACGCCTGTAACTGAATAATGGTTCATCTTTACTTGGCTTAGCCCTTAAAACTTCTTTTGTTGGAGTTGTACTAGAAAAGTGAAAAGATACAAATTCTATGGCCACTTGCAAAATAAAGAAACAAACAAAAAAATGGCTTCCATTAACACCTTTCTGACCATTTTCTCCCCCCACTAAACAGCTAGTGAGGGGTATGAACTCTTAACATCCTCTCCTAAAATCTGTGGTACTGTGTCTCCTATGTACCACAATCTGTTATCCTAATGTGGTCAGCTAAGATTCAAACAGTAGTCAGTAAAAGACATTATTCCATGTGACCATTTCTCTCGGTGTATCTTGGGTGAAATGATGACAAGGTGAGTGGAAGATACTTCTCTGTTGCTTATTGCCCTGTCTTACCACCTCCATTCTCTTGTTTCCTGGGACACCAAGGATCAGTTCTCATCTCATATGGATGATTGACTAGTTGGAGCTAGTGGATTACTTGCTGTTAGGTAAAGGTAGCCAAGCACACAGTTTTGAGACATTCTGTCATTTCACCCGAAGGAAGCAACAAGTTGACAAGCTCCCTTAAGTAACAGTTATACCAGTCATGGATGCTGCACAGTCTCTGAAGTGGCCTGTGTTTAAATCACAGGGAAACTACTGGAACTGGTTGTGCTGTAGGAGCATACATTGTTGTTCAACAGCTCTAGACAACAATGTATAATAAGAGAGAACAGTGTTAGTGGGGAGAAAAAAAAAAAAAAAAGGTTGATGTAAAAAGGTTGATGTTGGGTATAAAACATGAATTTTAATGTAGCAGAGTCAGTGGTTGAGAACATGGTGGGACAAGTCAGTAGTTTCATGTTCAAAAACATTAGCACTGGAGCACCCTTGTGATTGGGATTTTGATGAGAAAAAAAGGTATGATTTCCTTTTATTAGCCTTAGAGATGAACAAAACAGTGGACTTCAGTTTTTACTTCATACTAGAAAAAAAATGTAAGTAGAAAATCTCTGTACATTGTACCAGTTTGAATTAAACTCATGTTTTCAACTATTTCAACGTTTAGGTATACTTTTTTTCCTCATTGGAGGACCATAAGTTGTTCTACTAGGGTGAAATCACTGCTATATTGTGTAAGAACAGTTAAATTTCCTGCCCTGTCTTTAAGTATAATACCTAGGTAAGTATCAGGATTCAGGTGAGCATGGATGAACTTGATGTATTTTCAGTAATTCAGAGCTTCCTACAGTTTACAGCACTAATGCCCTTGTGTTCATCTGCATCTTTCCTAACAGTTTGCTGAGGTGTTTGGGATTTGCACAGCCCAACAAAGATAGCCAGAGTAATAGTCCTGCGATGAAGCTATCATTTGGGAGAGAGTTCTTACTGTATTAATTACCCTTTGGCTAGACTTCCATTGTCCTCTAATAACATGCATCCAACAAACCTGACAAGTAACCTGAAAATGATTCCTGTATTGACCTTAGCCAAGATGTTAATAGGTGATGTAACTACATAAGTATTTAAAACTAGCTTTAGTTTAGGTGATAAAAAAACATTTTGCTATTAACTGTCTTTATTTGTTGTCCCAGGGGAAGATGGAATCTTGCTAGTTGTGCCTTTTCTATAGCAGAAAGATCTCTTTCTAATTTAGAAATGTTCAAAACTTGTGCATAAAACACAATCTCTCTATGTAGTAATTGCATTCCTTTCTTCAGATAACATGAATGTTACTATGCTGTTCAATAACAAAAGTAATATGCAACAACATTTCTTTATTACCTTTTGTCTTGAGCTAGTAATGCACTGACTTTGGTTTCCCTTGATCAGATCCACAGGCAACCTTTGGAAATTTTTGAGTCAGGAAACAGAGTATGTGGTGCAGTATTTGGGTCACTTCCCATATATGAGGTAAGCACAAGTGTTTTCCACCTTTTGCAGTAACATTAATGCAGCAGAAGCCATTAGAACTAGTAAATGGTTACAATCACATACTTGGACATTTTATTTTTAAATGCTTCTCAATTTAATTTTCTCACATGGTTTGCATCACTACCAATTATATCCAACTTCTTATGTGTGCGCTCAACAATGGCTTGATCTGTGGGGGAATGAGGAATTCCTGTGATGTGTCGGTTACCCCAAGTTCGAAAAAAAGTTTGAAGGGAGTGACTACCATAGGCAGGGACATTGTTGGGTTTTATTTCCTTTGGGATGCCTAGCACTATGAAGGCAACATGGAAGTGAGCCTGGACATGGCGACTAGTTTTTTCTTTTTTTTTTCCCCTCTTTTTCTTTTTTTTTTCTCTCTCTCTTTTCTTTCTTTTTTTTTTTTTTTTTTGTTTTGTTTTTTTTTGTTTTGTTTTGTTTTATATTCAGGCTGCAATGTCCTCGATCACTGCATTGATTCATTCCAAATCATGCAGCAATCTCCATTTCCCGTCCTTCTTCTCGATGACAAACACTGGTGAATTCCATGGGCTGTCTGTCGGATGTATGTCCTTGTTGGAGTTGTTCTTGAACCAACTCCTGCAGACTACTGCTCGGAAAAGAATCAGCTGAGCAATTCTAGTTCCCTTTGGTATGAGCACTGGAGGAGAGGGAGTCCATGCCATTGCTTGTATTATCCCTTCAAAATCCGCATCAATTACTCTGGGCAGTACAAAAAGACCCATGGTCCCTTTACACTAAGAGGTATTTTACAGACCCAAGTGTCCCAAAGGGTGCATGCAGTCCGTTACTGTGGAGACATCCAATCCGGCGCTTCCTCGGGTTTGGGCAGTGGGGGAAGTCCACCGTGACGCAGTCGGTGGAACCACTGGTGCAGCGGGCGATGACGGTTGCGGCCTGGCAGTCACCATCCCCCAGGGTGGTGACTGCCTATGACGGAGGGCCGGGGCACTGGAGGTGTCGCACGCCCCGCGCTCCCCTTCCCGTTTCGCCACCACAGCTGTGAAGGCTGACCCTCTGCGTTATTCTTCGAGTGGCAGCGGTTGGCCCAGTGCCAGCCCTTGCCGCATGGTGGGCAAGCAGCGGGAGGAGCAGGGTTACCGCGTGTCCCCCCTCCCCGCTCCTCGCTGTGGGCATTCAGCAGCAAAATGTCCCGTGGCTTGGCAGCGGAAACACCGCCTGCCTCCCATTTGAAGCGCCACAGCAAAGGCTACGGCCAAAGCGACAGCGTGATGTTCTATGGACCCAACTCGATCACACGCCTCTGTCGTTTGTGCTAATGTAGTATTAACAGGCAGGGCTTGGAGTATTTTCTTACAGTCTGTGTTTGCATTTTCCGCTGCCATAAGGGCCTCCTTCGCCTCGCGGTTGTCAATATCAATGAACTGCGTATAAGGCTCGCTAACTTGTTGCCTACTGCTAGTAAACGATGGCTCGACTTTTCCCGCTTCAGGTAACTTCAGCACAGCCTGGAGGGCCAGAGACGCGGACTGCCGCAGGATGGCATCGTTGAGCCGAGCCTGCAATCTCGGATTAAGGAACGGCTCGGTCCCCATCAACTCTGGGATCCCGGCCCCCCGGAGGGGGTCGCCAGGCCCTCTTATATGCTTTACATATACTTTCCCCGTAGCCCCATGCGCTGTCCACACGCCCAAATCTGTCATACAATTGGTTAGAGACCCTCAGACACACACCTCGAGCCAGCCAGCAATTGGCCACTGCCAAGCTCATCTTTAACACCGTAGCCAAGTTACTTTATCTCGACCTTGCTCAAGTTTTTGTTTCTACCGCTTGTTTCCTCATTATCTCTAATTCAGGGACACATGAAACAGCACAAAGCCACCTGCAAATTCCTTTCCCACAGGAACCATGCAGTAAAGAAAACTGTCTAAAATGCATGATGTGTACATGTTGTGTTTAGCAGCCTTCCATCCAATTGCTACCTTATTGCTGTGCTATTTGAATTGCGACAAAACTACAGCACTATATAGCAATGCTCTCTTTTTTCTCATAATTCATTGCATAAAACCTGAAGTAGTTCAGGCTGTATGTCACTGCACAGCATTAGTTTACTTGTTGAGTTCCAACTCCTAATGCTTTAAAGACACCAAATGGAAATTAGTCCTAGCCCCAAACATTCTAAACAATGGTATTACTCAGTTGTTGTTTTAAGTGTTGCAAGAAAAGAAAAGACACTCCATTTCTTTGAACAGATAATCTACTAAGACACTGTACTACAAAGAATTATTTTGAAGAATAGTTGTTTATTGTATCCTAGAGGAGAGAGGACACTGCTGGGAAGAAGCTAAGAACAAAAGAGCATGTCAGACAAGTAGTACTTCCAAAGATACCCTTCAGGCAGTCTTTTCAGTGCTGGATCTAGTACAAAGTTGTTTGTTAACTGATTTGTTGGGTACTATCTGTGAATTTTATCTTGATGATGTCTGTCTTTAGAGGTTAGTGTCTCTCCTCCAGCATCCAGAATTATATTGCAGGTTTAAGAGTTACAGGTATATCAGTTGTTTTGTTGTTCGAGATCATTACTGTAGTATGGAAAGGTATCTTAAGACAGTCTCTTTCAGCATGGCAGAAATTCATGGTTGGATTGGCTACAGTAATTAGTTTGCCAGAATTTCATTACAGCTCTTGCTAATGCTTTACAGAATCTGAGACGCTCTTCAGGTGCCCTAACCCACTGGGGTAGCTCCAACTGAATGGCATCAACGGCACCAGAATCACGGGAGCCAAAAGTCTTTGTTATGTATCCACCACTATAATAGTTCCCATTATTGGGGCTAGGATTGGATGGAGAAGGCACACAAACATAACTGTTATTTTGTTCTTCAATATATTTACCCAAACTTCTGTTCCCTGCAAGCAGAGTCTCAAAAGACACACTAACTAGCTGATTGGCCAGATATCTAATGGAGGAACATGACGCAGAAAAGACACCAGAATTAAGGGAAGTTTTTGAAACTGTGTAGCCTAGTTCTATCCACTGTTCAGGATGTGCTTGTCCATGGATATCTAGAATCAGGCCCCTTGTCATCTGTGATTTTGCAGTGGTCAAAAATCCCATATAATCCTCCCAGGCCTGTTCTGCTTGGGGAATTCCAAAGGCGGCTTCTTCCTTTTCCCTGTTAGCATCCATCTTGAACCTCTGTAGGTGATTTATAATGATATGTGGGAAGAAGCCATCAGTAATCTTGTTGATTTCTTCAGCAAGAACCTGAGCCACTTCTATGGTATACCTGTCTTGGTTGGTAGACACTTTGCAGTTCTTATAGTCTTGAATGCTTCCAGGAGGACAGTCATGAGAGAAAATACAAGAAGATGTCTCTGCATCCCAACAGCCAGCCTCTCGATCAGGGATGTCTTCAGGTTCCATTGACCCACCATGTGGGACAGAGAGGATCAGGTTCATGTTGCCCACTTGATATTCTGTGAAATTATTATGACCAAATAAAACTTCTCTGCTGCCAGTGTGTTTCAATAGCAAAGATAAAATGGAAAGGAAGAACAGATGCATGATTTTTATTTGCTGCTGGAAGACTTGGCAATAAGGAATATGGCAGTACCTACATAAAAGCAAAAGACAGATTTTAGATTTTTTACAGCTGGAAACATGAGTGTTCAAATGCTGCTGGAATAATTAGTTACTGGTTAACCTATTTTAATTTAACTCCAACTAGCACAAAGAAGAAAAGCACTTACAAGAGAAACAAGGGACTTAGTGTGGCTAGACATAACTAAGAGAATTCTCACAGAACAACAGGACAAGGGAAATGGTAGGTTACTGGGCTGCCTTCATTCCCCAAGAACACAGAAGGATTGATTATTTGATCATCTTACCTAATCCCAGTGAATTGCCAGATCTCAGCAAAATATTTAAAATAAACATTTTCCCACCTAACCTCTGAAACTTGAAGAAAATTCTACCAAGATTTGATAAAACATCTGTATCTCATTGACCTGAGTGACATGTCTTTCCATTATCCACATGCTTACAAAAACTAGAGGTTATTTCAACTCAGATCACCACTGGGTTTATCTAAAATAAACAGACTGATAAAAATTGAGTGCTACCAAGCCCTATCTCTATCTGCTCTTCAGGCTGAGTTAATTTCATAGCATCATAGACAGATACCAGTGAGTGCATTATGGAGTGACTCTCTCCTCTTTGGTTTTCAAGTTCTTTCTCTTCGACACAGCTAAGGTATTTTTAAGCTCTCACTGACTGACGTTTTTTTGGAAAGCTGCAATTCAGCAAGATGCTAAAAGTACTTACTGGTTTGGAGGTATTACATCCCTAAGAAAATCAATTGAGTGTAACCATGTTCGACAGCTGTAAAATGAATGAGTAAAGTCAGTGAAGAGCAGAATAAGAAAGGATACTTTTACTTCCATGAATTAAAAAAAAAAGCTTCACATAACACAGTCCAGGTGAAGAGTATGTGTGTATTAAATGGGTGCACTAACAGATGAGGCAGGCTGTGCTGTTGTCTGTATTGCCTTTACCATTAACTCGCCTGTAGAATAGCAGGGGCACAGAGGGACAGCTAAGTAAGAGAGCTGAATATCTGAAATAATCTGTCCACCACCACGCCTGGCCTGAGCGCATATATTACAGCGGTCAGTAATACTGAGAAGGGAAGCACTAAGGTTCCCATCACCTTCATTTCCCCAAGCAGTCTGCACCCACTGACCTGTCTGGGGCTCCCTTCCACTACTGTGTGATGCATTTGTCTTCAAATCTGAAGGAGCAGTAACCAGCAAAGGAGGCATCCTACACCCTACCCTTTTAATGCTGCCATAAAGACAGCACAGAGTATCTCTGCTCCCTGCTGTAACTTCTGCAGAGTCTCCTACAACCCATGCAGCTCCCATTGGTATGGATGCATCCTCCCACCAGTTTTTCACACTTAAGAAAAGCAGAGAGCAATTTCACCCAGGTGACACAGCAAAATATTCTTTCCCTACTGTGAAGTCAGCTGTCAGCATCCTTGCTGGCTTTTTAGAAACAACCTCCTCTGCCTACTGGTCTGGTACACATTGGGGTGCCTGTGCACAAAGAGTGATTATCTTCTTTCTCAGATGAAAGTCATGAGCTAGAATCTGATCCCTGGAAATCTAATCTTGAGTTTTCCTTCAGAGCATAATCAAAAGCTCTTTTTTTTTTTCCTCTCTCCTCTCTCTTATAAAGGATTTTCAGTCCTTTAACATGAGCTTTCAGCTTAAAAAGCTTATCCTCCATTGTTTATGGTTACCTAGGTTTCCCTGAGGCACAGGCTTATACCAGTTAGTTCACTGTTTGCATTACCAGAAACACAGAGAAAATATTTTCAAGCATTACTCAAAATCCTTTTTATCCAAGGGACAGACTACAGATAAAAATATAGCACAAGTCACTTATATAAGTCTAGGAATAGCTTACCTCAGGTACAGTGAGCCCCAGCAACAAGTTAAATAAATCAACAGCAACAACTCACAGGTGCTGCTCACCTGCCTTAGGATTCAGGTTTCCTTTGCCTCAGGCTCTCAGCTTAAATACAATGACACAGCTGTTCATTTCCCACTATCGGCCCAGAAATTTGTTGTCACCTGCAGCAGTTCACTTGTCTTTTTACATTTTCTTGTTAATGATTGAATCAGACTTAACACCACTAGATTCCATTTTAAAAATACCTGCAGACACAGCTTTGTATGGTTCCCAAATGGGAAGAAAGCCACCCAGGCACAGTTCATGCTCTGGGCAAGCTTGGAGAGTGAGAAGGAAGTTAGAAAATTTAGGAGGAAGCTAGAAAATTTACCTGTTTGCCATCTTCTCCATAAGGGGGAGGTTCATGTGAATAAGAAATAATTAAACTCTGAAGTAGGCTTCAAGATACCTGTTTATCATAGGTAAACTAACATTATTGCAAGTTTTAAAAAATCCTCAATATTTTAAACTGGCAGTAATCACTGTAGGATTACTTTGAAGATTTACCTAAAAAGAAAGGGAGAGAGAGCTGTTCCTGACTCCGTGCCTTCAAAAGCGAAACTGAACTGACCATTGCACTCTGTCCAAGCAGGTCCCTAGAGGCCAGGCTGAGTCATGCAGCTGTGTGGCACAGAGATTTCATCTGCACCTGTATTTATCATTTCACAACTCAGAACTACAAAAGGCAAATACACACACACACACAGACACACACACACACACACACAAATATACTACAAGCTTAGCATTTAGAGCCAGCAGTGTGCCCTGGCTGCCAGTTCTGGGCACCACAGTACAAGAAGGACATTAAATTGTAGAGTGTCCAGAGGAGGGCGACGAAGGTGGTGAAGGGCCTAGAGGGGAAGACATACAAGGAGTGGCTAAGGTCACTGGGCCTGTTCAGCCTGGAGAAGAGGAGGCTTAGGGGGGACCTCATCACAGTCTACAGCTTCTTCACGAGGGGGAGTGGAGAGGCAGGTGACCTATTCTCTGTAATCACCAGTGATAGGATTCGCAGGAATGGTGTCAAGCTGAGGCAGGGGAAGTTTAGGCTGGACGTCAGGAAGAGCTTCTTCACTGAGAGGGTGGTTGCATGCTGGAACAGGCTCCCCAGGGACGTAGTCACTGCACCAAGCGTGTCTGAATTTAACAGGTGTTTGGACTGTGCACTTAGTCACATGGTCTAAACTTTTGGGTAGACCTGTGTGGTGCCAGGAGTTGGATTTGATGATCCTTAAGGTTCCCTTCCAACTCAGGATATTCTATGATTCTTTTGTTCTCTATAATGACATGCCTTTTTAGAGATCGACAGAAACTTGCCACAAGCACCACAGCCACACCAAAGGTAAGCTCAGAAAAATTAATGTGATTAATAAAGATAGATGTGATTCTTTCATGAACTCTTTTTTGCCACCACTTATATCTTTACTTGCTCCCTAAAAGAAGACCAGAAGGTAAAGCGTAACTAGTCACACTGCCATTATTCCACCTGGAAACCATTCAGGCCAATGCTTCCATCATAAAAATAAATAAATAAATAAATAAATCTGGTATCTGGATATGAGAATGACACTCTCTTAACTCAGGTTATGTATCAGTTGATTAGTAAGCAGGCAAAAAGGCTGCTGCTTATGGAATCATTCATGCTGCATCTAAGAGCACCTGAGTTTCCATTAGAGGTCTACAAGGCTGTTCTTTACTGGGCACGGTTTGATTTAATCACAGGTTGCAGCTGCAGATAGAAAGTACCACCCAAGGGAAAAATGCACTGATGTAACAGCCAAATTGGGGCAGGAGGAAAGTAGTTCTGTTACCAACACAGTTAAAGAAGCCTCACTTCCTGGCTCCCTCCCTCAATTTTTCTGATTTCCAAATGAGGGAGACCATTAGCTTTTTCTTCAGTGCGGGAAAGATAGACAAATCTACTTCCAAAAAGATTTTCAAGGTCTAGGTATATTCCCTGCCTGCATGTCAACCTCATGCATAGAGGAGACCACAGAGTGCCCCAAGCTCACCCCCCTTCTGTAGTTTTCATGCAAAGGAAACCCTGTACTGAGTGGTATTTGTAAATGATGAACCATACATGTCTGTGTGATCAGGCAGCAAGACCCTCATGAAATGGATATTTCTACTTCTAGCTCTTTGTCAAATTACATGAAAATAAATCCATAGGCTCAACGATTATTGCAAGTATACATTCAGACAAGTGGCATGAGCATGTTCTTTGTTTAGTAGATCAGGCTAAAAACCAAGTCCCAAATGCATTAACTTTTAAGAAACAAGTGGAGACTAAATTAGAAAAGAGTGTGTTCACCTCAATGCCTATGCACCCTTGGGTGCAGTGACTTTTCATTTTGCATCACACTATGTTAGAAGCTGTTGTAGAGTCACTGGGATGGCTGGACACCTTGTATTTTATGGTAGGAAGCACAGGTAGAGAAGCCAAGAGAAAAGCCTCCTACCTGCTCCCTCCCTTTGGCCATTATTCATTTGGAAAGAGGGATTGTAAGTAAAATTCCAGAAAGAGGGTGATCAGTCCTGAGGGGAAAAAAAAAAAAAAAAAAAAAAAAAAAAAAACAAGAAAAAAAAAAAGAGTAAAATATGAGTTGGGCAAGAATTTTGTGGTCCTGGCCTTCTTCAGCAAAAGTTCCTTGGCTCCAGTGTTTCTGACTCTGAGACTCACCTTATGACTATTTTTAATGTAATCTACAGAAAATAGACAAAAATAGATTAAATCAAATTACACATATAGCATTTAAAAAGATGTGGATATATTGTATTAAAATGATGTGGATATATTGTATTGCCTACCCTGATTATTGTTCTTCTCAGGAGCAGAATAGTTTAAGGAAAAAAAAAAAAGACATGTCAAAACTGATATAAGAACATATTTTTAAGAGAAGTAATCAAGAATCCAAAATGCAATTGAATTTAAGAGTCCTGGAGTGTGCTAGACATAGACAGAAACATGGGTTGAAAAAAAATAAAAATAAAAAGATAGTAAAGAGGAATTCAATCGGTATTTTCAGCTTTAAAACATCTTATGGTGTCATCATGGCCAACATATTTCTATGCATTCTTTATGCATGCACAATATACTTGAGTTTTAATTCAGTATTGAATTTAAAATTCAGTACTGAATTTAAGCCTTACTGTCCACTGCCTGGAAACATTGCTTTTCTGCCCTGGTGACTAAGTCACATTCAATATTCCAAATGAGCTCTACAGACTTCAAAATGGCAAGCAGTAAAGCAAATTTACCTGGTAGGTATCAGCTTAGACACATTTCTCACTGCAAATTTTATTTTAATTTAAGTAAGCATACTTTTGGTTAAACTAACAAAAAAAATAGAAAAAGAGGGAAAGGAAAAGGAGTGGGAAAAGAACTATTACATATTTCGGACTTAAAACTGGTCAATTGTCAATCACTTTACTCCAGACATTGTATTTCTCACTTCTACCTTGAAATTATTGTATTGGAACTGCAGCACTAACATCTCAGGATGACTTGTGGTGTGCTTTACGTGACTGGCTTTGGCCCTGATGTGGGAAATGTAATGGCATGCTCTGGCCAGCCCACCGGAGTGAAAGCAGGACCTCATCAGGACACTTCAGACACATTGCACAAGGATGAGTCCATCTGATAGTTCGCACTTGTAAGGGAAACACATTAAAACAAGAATGTCCTTCCAGGTACTTTAAAATGACTTTACGCTACTGTGTTTATACTATTTACTGTATTTATGCAATATTTATTTATGCTATTTATGGTACTTATGCTATCCCATGAGGCCTGGGGAACAGAAACATAGACATATTTAATTTCCTGTTTGTAACTACAAGTGGACCAAACAGTCAAATTCTGTGAAATTTCAGGCAAAGTACTGCATTTAATTCCTCTTGCTATTTTCCTTTGTACCAAGACAATATCGTGATTTTTCAAACGCTTTCCATATGCAGATGTCCTCTAACCAGGATTTAATCACCAGCTCCAGAGACCAATACTAAGAGCAGCTTAATAAAGTAGTTAAACATAATGCCCAAAATACATAAATAATATCATAAATTCAATTTTTTTTTTAAAAGACTCTATTTCAATGCAGTGCTACTTTCTAGAGTGTTGGCAAGTCTTGCGGCTGAGTGATCTCATTGCATGCAGCTGGAAACATGCACACACTCCTGTATTTGTTTCCATTTTATGAGTACTAACTCAATACATGAAGGTTTTCTTAAGAGTGCAGATAAAATTTGCATAATTCATTATTGTGTGCATAGTCTTTCTTCGGTTCTAATCCTCTCCCCATTCTTTACTGTTTCTAGACTGCACTTGCTCTCATTAGAAAACATATGAAGACGTATTTCCTGAAGATAGGAAAAATCATGAATAAAATCAGTCTGAGACTTTTAGGTTCCAGCACGTGTGTTGCCAATAGGGAGAATTTAAGGCTGGCACTGTAGAGTGCCTTGTAGTCCTAGTCTGTGGCATGTACAGACCACACATTGGTTATCAAACTACAGTTGACTGCGTTTAATATGTCAAATAGGCAGAGTGAGATACTGCAGGTGAATTGTAGCAGATGTTTAAACAGGAAGTCAATCCCATGCCTGAGATGTCCCTAAACATTAACTAGATCTCTGAAATAAAAATGTTGCTTTCTTGCCTTTTCTATTTGCATAGTTTGACTCTTCTTGTAAAATTCCACTTCAAATTTCAGTATGGGAT